AGCTTCCACCCTCGCTCCTTGAATTTCTGCCTTACGTCCCCATCCCTTTTCCTACCTATGTCGTTGGTGCCTATGTGGACCACGACTTGGGGCGGCTCCCCCTCCCCCTTAAGGATCCCGAAAACACGATCCGAGACATCACGGACCCTGGCACCTGGGAGGCAACACACCAACCGCGAGTCTCTCTCGTTCCCACAGAATCTCCTATCTGTCCCCCTAACTATGGAGTCCCCAATGACTAATGCTCTCCTCCTCTTCCCCCCTTCCCCCCTTCCCTTCTGAGCAACAGGGACAGACTCTGTGCCGGAGACCTGCACCCCATGGCTTACCCCTGGTAAGTCGTCCCTTAAAGTTTGTTCAAATCACTTCAAGGTGATGTCAGGAAAATAAATCAATTTCTTCCCCTTAGCGAAGACTATTGGGTGTATTTTGAAGGAGTTTTCACAGAATGAGAGGATGTTAATAACTTTATCTGATACTATTCATGTGTTCCTGGAGTTTTTTTCTCTTGCAGTATAATATTTAGTGTGCTTGTAGTAACTAAAGCATTTTTGTTGCGCCCAATGACCTTACATAATAGTTTCTCAATGGAACTGAGAGTAGAATTACTGTGTATGTTTACCATGATGGTTATAACAAAACTGCATTGCTTCATACTATCTGAGTGACTCTGAGTAAATATTGGCATCAGCAATGATCACAACTTCAAGATGTTTCCAATTACATTTCAACAACCTGCTATTCCCTGACTGGGTGGATGTGGAGACAATGTTTCCTTTTACAGGAGAATCTAGAACTAGGGCATCACTCTTTAAAAATCAGGGGTCGTCATTTAAAACTTAAAGGTCCAGAATCCCAGAAAGTCACTTTGACAGCTGCTATCAAAGGATAAGTACATAAAATGAGTGTGAAGATGCTGAGAGGGTAAACGCCAGCTGTTTAAGGGATATGATACCCAGTGGCTACCAGGTAAATATGGAGCTGAGTGGGTAGGGGTTTAGGTGGCAGTAGATTAGGAACCAACTAGGTTGGGTGCCAAGTGGATTGAATGCCAAGTAAATGCTACCTATTCAGTCCAAGGGGACAGGTTGTCAAGGAGAGCAGGTAAGTAATGGAATCTTTAGGGTAGGTGTTGCTGGGTGGAAGGTATCAGATGTGCAGGGGGGTGTTAGAGTGTTGGGTGGTGAGGGCAGGAGAAGGTTCAAACTGGTGGAATGCCAGGAGAGTTTGTGCCTGGTCACAGGCGGGCAGGTGTTGTGTCCTGGGGGCTGGGGCATGGGGACTGGGGACTGGTACCAGGTCTAGAGGGAGTGAGGGAGTGACAGGTTCAGATGGGGAGGGGAGAAGTTGAGTCTCAAGGGATTGGATCCATGAGGGGTGTCGAGTCAGGGTCTGGGGTATAAGGGAACTGTGAAATTGGGGGTGTATGAGGTAAGTCAGGAGTGAGTTAAATAGTTACTTAGAAGTTAGACTAAGTATTTAATCATCTAACTTTGTCTGCCTAACTACTTACTTAACTGCTGTGGAACCAACTGAATTCTCCGATTTAAAGGGATAGGGTTAGGGTTAGGGTTAGGATTAGGGTTAAGGTTAGGTGAATTACTTATCGGAATCTTCAAATTGTGAGGAATTTGTTCAGAAACTGTTATGTCAGGGATTCCACAGGACCCCTGTGTACAATTCTCATCTGCAGAAACTATTATCTGGCCATCAGAAAATCTGGGCCATTAAATCCAATTTCTTGTTTCAGACAAAGGCAATAGGCTAGAAGGAGAAGTGGAGAGGAGAGTTGGGAAGAATGGTTTTCACCCAGGGGGTAATGGGAAATCTGAAACTCACTGCCTGAAAGACAGCTTCAGTCAAAAACTCTTGTTAAAGTTTAAACAGTATTTAGATATTCACTCACATTGCCATAGTCTCCAGGGCTAATGGGTCAAAAGCTGAAAAATGGGATTAGTTTAGTCAAAACAATATCAAAATACTGGAGAAACTCAGCAGGTCTGGCAGCATGTGTGGAGGGTTCTGATGAAGAGTCACTGGACTTGAAACGTTAACTCTCTCCATAGATTCTGCCAGACCTGCTGCATTTCCCAACATTTTGTTTCTGTTTCAGATTTTCAGCATCAGCAGTTCTTGGTTTATTTTAGTGAAGTCAAACCTTTGTTGACTAGTGGTGACACGAAGGGCTGAATGGCCTTCTTCTGTGCTACATACATCTGTGAGTTTAAAAGGGCAGTTCTGCAAAATGTGACTTAGGTAAATGCAATATTGGTTGTGGCATTAGCAAGATTACAGTGATTCTACTCTAGATATTTCTGGATTTATTTTTTCATTTATGAGCCTTGAAATATGATATAAAAATCAGGATAGTGGCTGCCTTATGCAGAAACCTAAGTGACCACTGCAATCTATTGATTCTAGTAAAGAATCTTTCTGTTCAGTTAGACCTGTGCACTGCTAAAATGAGGATTTCATGATTGTGATACTTAATTAATTTCGCTAAATTTAGTGAAAGACAGGAATTGATTAATCGATTAAAGTAGTGAGCTGACTATCCATTCTAGGAGGCCAGCACCAAGTTCCTCGAAAGAACCAACAGAAAAACCAACTCGAGGTAGAAGTGGATTTGAGCCTCAGACCTGTAAAATCATTACTTATCAATTCGCCTTTCACCCTATCACAGCTTTTCACTTTTGCTTTCACCCCAGCCCTTTCTTGCCCCTGTACTTGCTTAAAACTTTTGTTATCTACAGTTTTTTAAGTTCTTAATGAAAGACTATTGAATCGAATCATTAACGCCGTTTTTCTCTCTGGAGGTGCATTTCCAATATTTTCTGTCTTTTTGTTTTAGATTTCCAGCACCTGCAGTGTCTTGCTTCTGTACAAATGCTCATATGGCTTTTCCATTCTGTACTGTTGCTGTATTAATGTTGGCAAATTGTTCATCCTTACAACAACTCCTCCGATTTCTTCCTGGATGTTATTAATGAAACATCATCCTTTGAAACTCCAAATCCAGGTATCATTGATGATCTGACTTTATTGATGATTGTCTTTCAGTTATATTTTTTAACATGGCATCTAATTTAATTTTGAGGTGCAGGTTTGCGGGACACTGATGTAGTGTGTAATGGTAATGTCACTGGACAAGTAATCTAGAGCTCAAGGCTAATGCTCTGTGGGCACAAGTTCCAATCTCAAATCAAATCAAAGGCAGTCAGTGTATGGAAGTTTGCTTGTCATCATTACCAATAGTGTAGTCACTGTAATATCTAAATATTTTTATCTTTTGTTGAAGAGGTTGTGGTCACTTCTCACCAAGCCATGGATCCTAGCACAGAAAAGAATATGTTGGCCCATCATTTTCAGCAGTCTAAGTATTATTTCATGCATAGAATCCCTACAGTGTGGAAACAGGCCCTTCAGGGCAACAAGTCCACACTGACCCTCAGAGCATCCCACCCAATCTACACATCCCTGAACACTATGGACAATTTAGCTAGCCTGCATATCTTTGGACTGTGGGAGGAAACCCATGTAGAGAGGAGAAGGAGAATGTGCAAACTCCACACAGACAGTTGCCCAAGGGGGAATTGAACCCAGGTCCCTGGTGCTGTGAGGCAGCAGTACTAACCACTGAGCCACCATGCCACCCTCAACTAAATCAATGACAAACTCAAGTCCTGGTTCATGCTAAATGCTTCAAAGTTTTCAATGCAAGTAAAACATTCATATGCAACTTCTTTCTGGTATCAGGTAGGTGCAAATCTCTTTGTGTGCTTCTTGATAAGGGTGATAATTAAATTCAACAGGTAATAGCAACCATTTGAGTCCAAATGTAGTGGAGACATTGTTGATCGAATTTCTGTTGCTGCCTGTGTGTCACTGATGCACAGTCCACGTCTCACTGCAGTAACAGCAGCATAGTGGTGACAACTGCTCTCTACATTATGTTTCTTTCAATTAACTTGTGGAGGTCTTTGTTGTCAAGCACTGACTGCCGTAGTTTTTCAAAGGCTGAGCTAGCACAGCTGATCTGGTGTTGAATCTCCTCATCAATGGTGTCCTTCAGAGAGAGGTACTGGTAAACTATGGGATGTGCTCACTATTTTGCAGAATCTCTCATTCAACATGTAAGGGAGGAGCAATATTTGTCTGAACACAATTGATATGAGTTTTGTTTTAGCAATGTTCAAGCACAGGCCAAGTTTTTTTGAAGCAAATTTGAAGAGATTAAGTGTGGCTTGAAAATTTTGTACAGTAGGCAATAACGCTACAGTCATCCCTAATCACTGCTCATCCATATTTAAGGTGATCAGTTCAGTTTTGACATGGAGACGACTGAAATTAAAGAGTTTTCCATCTAGGTAGTATTTAATACTCACATTAGCTGTTCTTTGAGATGTATCTTATCCTATGTCTTATGGTCTTCTTTATAGCCATTGTCAGGTGGATGGTAAACTGCATGGGAGCCATCCCCACAGACTTGTTTGAAATTGATTTGAATTTTGAAGGCAACTGTTTCATATCTCCCTCTCAAGATAGTAACTGTGACATCAGCATGAAGTAAATGCAACTTTGTGGTAAGGTTTCTCAAATATCCAGATCTTTGGACCAAAATCCACAGAGTCCTTTGATGAATGAGCCAAAAGCTCTGATCAAATCATTGAACACAATAAAGAGTTCTTGGCATTGGTCTTGAAATTTTTCTTTAAGTTTTCTTCAATCAACAACCAAACAAATGCCAATGCCCCTTGTAGTGATTAGAACCAGGTAGACCTCATTGACTACGAGGTTCTTGATTGGGGTTGTTATCCTGGGCCAATCAGAAAGCCCTGGCTGACCAATATAACCAGCAGATTAGAATCTCCACGACTGAGGACTGACTCCAAACTGGCTGACTACAGCTGGTGTACTGTGTACTAATAAACAAAGGGCGACTTGGTGATGGGACACTGGCCCCTGTCAGTTATTTCACTGGCAATGGGAGAAAACAGGGCATGCCTGAAAAACGTTTGCGTGTAACTGTCACCTTGGAGTTGGGGGCAAACATTTCTGGCATCATGGGAAGCTTGATTCATTTCACTCCGCTGTCGAAGAATGATGGTAATGGGGGAACAGAAGGGTCATCGCAACCAAGATTAAAACCTTTTTGGACCTGGTGAGACCAGGTCACCATAGAGGACGGCATATTTCTGTGGGGAGTTGGGATAATTGTCCCGAGTAAAGGTCACCGCCAGATACTGGCCGAACTCTACCAGGGTCATCCAGGGGTTTTCAAGATGAAGACACTGGCAAGAAGCTGCATCTGGTAGCCAGGGTTGGATACTGACATAGCTGCATTGGTGGGGCTGTGCCCAGAGTGACAACAAGGACAAAAACTGCCACCAGCAGCACCCCCACATTTGTGGGAATGGCCGTGTAAACCCTGGACTCAGTTGCATGTTGACTCTGCTTTCATGGGCTCAATGTTCCTGGTCATTGTGGATGCCCATTCAAAGTGATTGGAGGTGCATTAAGTTCATTCAGCAAACTCAGGGATGACGATTGAGAAGCTGCGAACATGGTTCACGATGCATGGACTCCCAGAAGTATGGGTCATGGACAATGGGACGTCATTTCCCAGCAGGGAATTTGAGTATTTCCTAAAGTCCAATGACATTTGGCACACAAGGACAGATCCATTCCATCCATTGTCCAATTGGCTCACGAAAAGAGCGGTCCAAATATTGAAAGCAGGCTTAAAGAAGCAGCCTACAGCATCAATTGAGGCCAAACGGTCCCTGCTCCTGTTTGATTATAGCACCACCCCACCATGAAACAGCAGTAATAGCTCCAGCAGAGTTGCTGATGGGGAGAATACTCCACACCAGGTTAAACCTGATATTTCCAGACCCAGGGGTGTTGGGGGGGAGGGTGAAATGGCAGCAGGAGCACCAATGCCAGCCAGAGGCCTCCTGTAAGTAAGAGAGACAGTTTAATTCAGGGGATGAAGTTTGGTACCGGAACCATGGAAATGGCCCTGTACGGGTACAAGGCGAGGTTTACATGAGCAAAAACAAAGTTGCTGGAAAAACTCAGCAGGTCTGGCAGCATCTGTAAAGGAGAAAACAGAGTTAACGTTTCGGGTCCAGTGACCCTTCCTCAGAAGTTCTGAGGAAATCAGAAACACAAACTGAAATTGCTAGAGAAACTCAGTAGGTCTGGCAGCATCGTGGAGAGAGAAACAGAGTGAACATTTCATGTCCAGGGACCCTTTTTCAGAACAAATGCTGCTTAATTTTTCCAGTGATTTCTGTTTGTGTTATTGTTTGTATATTTCCTTGTTGAAATTAGTCACAGCGTATATTATTTATCCTTGTACTTTCAGCTGTACATTATGTGCGACAGAACCATGAAAAACCTTCACAGAAACCCACAGACCTCAGTAGTTCAAGTGTTCATGATGATAACCTTTGGTATCTTGAATGGGCTTATATATTATCAAATACCAGACACAATGCCAGAAGCTTTGCAGAAAAGGTAGGAGAAAACAGGAAGAGTTGTTGCCACAAGTTATCACATGTATGCCATTCAATATTATGAATTATGGACTTTCTGATTGGGAAACAATTTGGTGTTTTAATTCTCTAATTGATTCTATAGCTCAATGGATAAAATGTTCCAGGGCAATGGTTTGTAGGCTTCCCCTCCCCATCCACTCAGGGGATAGGTGAGATTGACTGTGTGTTTTAATCCTTTCCAGCTACATATATAATAACTTTTAACATAATGTGGCCTGACACTATTATTATGCTGTGCTGACCAAAGTGCTATCTTTACAATAAGATGAATGAAAGGCACTTTGGTTGAAAGGAAATTTGCTTACATTCCCTAGAGAAGGTACCCAAGAGAGTCATCATATTTGGTATAAAAATAATGAAAGAAATGAATCCAATATAAGAGGTAATCCTAAAATTCAGATAAAATATGGTCAGTGAGGACACCAATTTCATCTTGGATGTGTACCTTAAATATTGTCACTTGGGATATTTCCTGATTTAGTCAATTTTTTACAAGGAGCACTAATATCTAACTGATGTGTCCCATTCCCTCTGCTATGTATTTTTCAGAGCCCCTGGAGAGACGTACATGATTGAACAAGGTTTTGACTTCAGCACCTGGGGCTTCTGGCAAAATGAAGTTGCACTTCTGTGTATAATGGCAATATTGTCACTTCTAGCTTTTATACAACTTGTAAGAATTAACAAGTAGAAGATTGTTAAGTTTCTAAAGAAAACTTGGCTGCCTCTCTGGTTTACTTCATACTCTCACTACTCTGAGAAAACACACCATCTTACCATTGAAGAAATAAATTAAGTCCAAACCTACTTTAATGCAAATACTAACAGCTACTGATATTTTCCCAATACAGATGGTTACCCATGATAGCTGACCATGTTTTCATGGGATGGCAACAATTGCACACATTTTGCAGGATTTTGATTCAGTGGCCACATTGACTGAAAGTAAACTTGACAGTATAGCCACAACAATTTGAAACCAATTCTGTGTGGTAGCAATATGTTCTGTCTTGAACTGCCTTGGCTGCCCACTCTGTTAGATCTAACTTAAAGGGGTATAAGGCAAGAAACTTATAATCAAAAAGAGCAAACTTATCTCTTAACCCTTTCAGAATATCAACAATTTCCCCAGTAGGTGGATAGCCTTGCAAATGTCATGAGATAGCAGGAACTGCAGATGCTGGAGAATCTGAGATAACAAGCTGCAGAACTGGGTCCTGAAATGTCAGCTTTCCTGCTCCTCTGCTCCTCTGATGCTGCTTGGCCTGCTGTGTTCATCCAGCTCTACACTTCGTTATCTCTCTGTATCCAGTCTGTCCAGCCCTGTTAGAATTTTATGTTTCAATCAGATCACCTCTCATTCTTCTCAACTCTAGAGAATACACGCCCAATTGAACCAAACTCTCCTAATAGTCCTATCATCCACGGTACAACTTCTGTAAGTCATCCCTACTTCTGAGCTCAATGAAGGCCAATATACCATTTACCTTCCACAGTGCTTGCTGCATCTGCCTGTCTTTCATCAACTGGTGAGCAAGAACACCCAGATCCATTTGTAATTCCTCATTTCCCAATGTATCACCATGATATAATACTGTGCCTTTGTTTTTCAGACCACAGTGTATAACTTCACAACTAGCAACCTTGTACTGCATCTGCCACTTGTTTGTCCACTGAATCAACTTGTCTGAATCACCTTGGAGCCTTCTTGCATTCTCCTCACAATTCTCAATCCCTCCCAGTTTTGTGTCATCAACAAAACTGGATATATTGCATTTGGTTTCCATATCCAGGTCATTTATTTATGTATAACAGGTGGGGCCCAAAGCACAAATCTTTGTAATACTCATTCCCTGGTCATGTCATCGTCATTGTCTGGAACCAAAGAAAAAACTATTCCTACCCTCTGTTCACGTCAGTCCACCAACTATTTTCCCATGTCAATAAATTAACCTCAATCCCAGGTGTTTTAAATTTTGCTCATTAGCCTCCAATGTGGGCCTTTATCAAAAGCCTCTGAAAAACCACAAAACGTCTACTGGTTGTCCCCTGTCCATTCTACTATTCACATCCTGAAAAAACTCCAGTCGATTTGTTAGCATGATTTATCTATCATAAACCCATGCTGGCTTTGTCCAATCTCATTAATACATTCCAAATGTTAGCATGATAGACATTTGTATATTCCCCATTGCTGATGTTTGGCCTAACTGGTCTCATGATCTGTTCTCTCCCTTTTTTAAATAGTGGAGCTACATTTGCCACCCTGCAATTTTTGGGAACTGCTCCAGACTCTATAGAATTTTGGAAGATGACTACCAAAGCATTTAATAGGGTCAGTTCCTTTAGTACTTTAGTTTGTAAATTATCAGGCTCTGGTGATTTGTCAGCCTTTAACCCCATGAATTTCCTAGACACTATTTTCTAAGTAATACTGATTTCCTTCCAATCCTTCCTCTCACTAGACCCTTGGTTCCCAAACATTTGTGAGTGGTTATTTGTGGCCTCTTTTGTGAAGACAAAAATGTGTGTTCAATGTTGCTGCCAGTTATTTGTTCCCCATTATAATTTCCCTGGCTTCTGACTGCATGGATCGTACACTTATCTTTACTAATTTTTTCCTCTCAACAGGTTTGGGCTTTTTTCCCCCTGGAGTGTTGGAGACTGAGGGGTTTATAAAATCGTAAGGAGCATGAATAGCCAAAGTCTTTTTCCCTAGACAATAGGAGTTCAAAACTAGAAACCATGGATTTAACGTGAGAGGAGAAAGATTTAAAATGGACCGGAGGGGCTAACTTTTCCATGCAGAAGGCAATGCTTGTATGGAATGAGTTGCAGAGGAAGCGGTGGAGGCTGGTAAATTTAAAACATTTAAAAGGCATCTGGGTGGGTATACGAATAGGAAGGGTTTAAAGAGATGTCTGATTGGTGAGGATGAGTTGGACTGAAAGATCTGTTTCCATGCTTTATAACTCAATAACTTTAGTGGGACCACATTTGGAATATTGTGTACAGTGCTGGTCACCACACTACCAGAAGGATGTTAAGCCTTTAGAGAGGGTACAGAAATGGTTTATCAGGATGTTGTCTGGTTTGGAGGGTATTAGCTGTGAGAAGAAATTGGACAGACTTGATTTGTTTTCACTTGAGCAAAGGATGAAGGATGACCTGGTAGAAGTTTACTAAATTGAGAGGCATGTACAGAATGGATAGTCAGGGTCTTATTCCCAGGGCAGAAATGTCACCTCTGGGGGCAACATTTAAAGGTGATGTAAGAGGCAAGTCTTTTTTTACACAAAGAGTGGAATGTGCTGCTACAGGAGATGGTGGAAATGGCTACAATAGGAACATTCAAGAAGCACCTGGACAGATATATGAATAGGCAGGGAATAGGGGGATACACACTGCATGGAGGCAAAAGGTTTTTAATTTGGAAAAACATCATACATGGGCTGAATGGACTGCTTCTGTACTGTACTTTGTAAGATATCTTGGTATTGGAAACAGCGCAGAGAATGTTCACTAGTTTGATCTGGTTATGGAGAGGTTGAGTAGGCTCAGCCTGTAATCATTGGAATTTAGAAAAATGAAAAATGACTTTATTGAAACATAAGGTTCTTAGGTGGCTCGACAGGGTAGATGTTGAGAGGTTGGTGCTGCCTGTGGAAAGAGTCTAGGACCAGGAGGCATAATCTCAGAGTAAGGGGTCAACCGTTTAAGACAATGGAATTTGTTCTCTCAGAGGGTAGTGAATCTGTGGAATTCTATACAGCAGAAAGTTGGAGAAGCTAGTCAATAAGACAGATTTTCAATCAGTAAGTGATTATGGGGAAAAGGCATGAAAGTGGAGTTGAGGATTATCAGATCTGTCATGATCTCATTGAACAGTACAGAGCAGAACTGATGGGACAAAATGGCCTACTTGTGCACTTACATCTCACAATCATAGGTTGAATTAGGAAAAGAACCAAAGTCAACAGGAGGAGAAACTCAGAATAGTAAGAACTGCCAACGCTGGAGTCTGAGATAACACAGTGTAGAACTGGATGAACACAGCAGGCCAGGCAGCATCAGAGGAGCTGGAAAGCTGACGTTTTGGGTCGGGACCCATCTTCAGGATTTCTGAAGAAGGGTCCTGACCTAAAACGTCAGCTTTCCAGCTCCTCTGATGCTGCCTGGCCTAGGAGTAGAAACTATTTGCCCAATGAGTTACAAGCTGAATCCACTGCCTGAAAGCAGATTCAAGAGTAATTTTCAAGTGGGTTGTGGATCAATACTTGAAAAGGAATAAAATACGGAACTGAGGAAAGAGCAAAGGGAGTGGAACAAATTGGAGGCACTCTGGGCTGAAAGGCTTCACTCAGTGTGGTACAATGCTAACAATATGATAGATGCCATTTGTAGTATCAAAAATAAGAGGAAGTGGCAGAAACAACAAAAGGAAAAAGGTGGAGGCCACAATGAAATGGCATGGCGGGACAGAAAGACCAGTGATTGGCTCTTGACATTCATCAGAGATGGGTTTTGGTTAGGTGTTTAAGTTAATCCAAAGTTGTCTTCTTCGCTGCAACCCAACTGAACCTAAAGCTGTTCAACTAAATGTGTCAGAGGGCAACCAACTGAAAATGCACAAGAACGTGTTACCCTCCCTATGAAGGGATCAGTGTGGCTGTGGGTAAACAAAAATATTAAATCACCAGGAAATAATTCACAATCTCCCACTCATTTCACAACCTCAGGATGCCTCAAATTGACTCAGTCACTAGAGCATTTTTGAAGTATAGTCACAATTGTAATGTAGGTAAATGGGCCACGATGTTAGTTTGGGGATAAATGTCGACCATGACACAGCGAAATACTCCCCACTTTTTCTGAAAGTTGTGCTATGGGATCTTTTACATCCATCTGAGGCAGGGACTCGGTTTCAAGTCTCAGTTGAAACATGGCATCTCTGACACAACAGTGCTTCCTCACTGCACTGAATCATCAGCTCATCTCTGAAGTGGAACCTTCTGTCTAAGAGACAACCATTACTACCAAACCTCAGTTGACATTTTAAAATACACTGATGATTCTGCGGCTTTAAGAAGTGCATTCAGTTCTGGATTTTTTTTTTAAATGAAGAAAGGTTGAGACAGAGGTAGCAAGCAGCCTGCTCAAAGCCAATAAAGTTAACAGCTTGTGAGGCCTTGGGTTTTTTTTTCAATGTTGGAAAATAGAAGCAGCCTGAATGGGTGGGATCAAGTTCCCACAGAACTAGGATTTTTAGTTTCAGCTTTCAGCAGTTTCTGGGGTCTTGAAGGTGGATGCGGCAGCTCTTATTCCTCTCCCTATTACAGGTAAAAGCTGGGCTTCTCTTCCTGCTGCTAGAATTAAGTGTGAGCCTATCTATTTTACTGCATTTGCCTTTGCCAAGGGTATGTTAACGGGATGTTATTATACTGGCAAGTTAATTAGTAGAATATATATTATTCTGTTAAGTATTTTGATAGGGTTACAGTTAAGCCAATTCCCTTTTATTTTTAATTTGTCTGTATTTTACCTGTGTTGTAAATAAAGTGTGTTTTGCTTAAAGTTGAGTAGTTTGACCAATCAAATTGCATCTGGGATGCAATGCCTTACTCTTAACTTTAAAATAAGAAAATGTTAGGGTCTAGGCTATCTTCTTCATATATTTTGAAGAGGTTTGGTCTGGCCCATAACAACACTGACTACCTTACTTTCTCTGTGTTTTATTTCTAGACAAACATGAAGTGCAGTTTATGAGGTCTTGATAGCCCAGTAAACACAAATTATAAAAGGAGACAGGAAGCATTAAACACTTAGGTGAATAGACTTCCACATTGCTGATGAAACAAAAGAGGACATTTGCACAGCAAAACATTGCGTTCCTCACAGGAAATTTGCAATGACTTTATTTGAACAGGTAGGAAAAGGTTCTCATTGCCGGTAATAAGAATATATTTTTAAAAACCATTTAATATCATGATTTAGTTTTGTATTAATTAGACTTTAACTTTAAGTTTATCACAGACATATTTAAACTGAAATTTGAGATTACAGTACCTCTTTTCATGCTGAATTTCCTGAAGCTTATTTTCCAAAATAAGCATTAATAAATAGTACAACATATTTGTAATGGTGTAAAGTCGTCACTGTGTAAAATCAAGTTAATAATTTTGATGGTTTTTTTGGAAGTAGCCTAAAAATATCACATTGCCATTATGCAAAATACAGTAATTAGTTATATTTTAGGTAGGATTTAGATCTTTTGAGTACTACTGCAATATTAAGTATGCTACATGGTTGGTACTAAAAAATGAGTGAAATCAGAACAGTTTGATTGACTAATTTTAAAATGATGTTTTGAAATGAATGGAAAATATCTCTGCCTGTGTATGTCCTTCATGGCAGGGATTATTTCCAGAGCCTGTCTGCACAATGATGTATGTGCTATCACATTTGTCTCTGCGTCTATGTACATGGTGATTATGTATTAAGTATAAAATTAAATTGGAAGCTGTCTCTTTTGATTAGTATTGGAATTAGTTGTATCCATGAAAAACTGACTAGATTTAAGACTGGTTAATAATACCCAATGTTCAGCAAGCTTGAGCAAAGTACTGTGGATACTGGAGTCTGAAAAACAAACAGAATGTGCAGGAGAAATTCTGCATCTGTTGAAATGGAATAGTTAATGTTTTGAGTCCAATATGACTCTTTAGAGTCAAAATGTTAACTCTGTCTCATACAGCAAGTACGTTCTGCTTTTATGTCTCGTAGTCATGTGTGAACACTGAACAAACAGCTTGGAAACATGGTAGTAATTTTGTCCTTTTTGATGGACTGTACAGAATAATTCTTTCTTGCAGTGTGTTTGTACCCGATGTGGCGTAACATCTGATCCTCTGCCTTTTATCCAGATGGTAAACTATATTTCTACAACTGCTTTGTGGTAAGTCATTGCTTAAAAATAATTGTACTTAACTTGAGCTTCACACAGCAACTTCTGATGCAAGAAGATTCTAAAAGAACGGGAATAAAATGAATGGTGAAAAGGTTTCCTGAACAGAGTCTAGTGTTTCCTGGTGACTTACTAGCAAATCAGGCTGTATTCTGATGAAGGGTCTAGGCCCGAAACGTCAGCCTTCCTGCTCCTATAATGCTGCTTGGCCTGCTGTGTTCATCCAGCTCTACACCTGGTTATCTCAGATTTTCCAGCATCTGCAGTTCCTACTGTCTCTGTACTCTTATACAGTGTTAAGTACTGAAACCACTCACGTCGACTTCAAAAAGATTTGTACATAGGATTGGGAACAATATGTTTTTAAATATATTGTAGCCTGTTCTGCTTTATTGGAATAAGACTATTAGATAATCTGTAACCCATGCTTCAAGGTGTATAGTCACTCAAGAGAGCAACAGGAAGTAAAATATTGATGTGTTCTAAATATGGTGTAATCTCCCAAGGGAGGGAATGAAGAAAAGACAAAGGAATTGCTAAAAAAAAAAGTATAGGCCATCTTCCTTAAATATTATGACTGCTTCCCTACAGAGGAAGAGAAATTCCTGATCTTGTTATGAGTAACTGATAAGCCAGGTGAGTAGCTTTTTGGCCACGGGTGAGGTCCCAGAGAACTGGAAAATAGCTACTACTGTCCCATTGTTTAAAAAAGGTAACAGGGATAATCCAGGAAATTACAAGCCTGTGAGCCTCACATCAGTGGTAGGGAAATTAATGGAAAAGATTTTCAGGGATAAGACCTATAAGCATTTAGAAGCAAATGGACTGATTTGCAATAAACAGCATGGTCTTGTGCAGGGAAGGTTGTGCCTCACTAACTTGATCGAGTTTTTTGAGGAGCTGACGAAGATGGTTAATGAGTGATAAACAGTTGATGTTGTCGACATAGACTTCAGAAAACCCTTTGACAAGATCCTGCATGGCAGACTGGTACAGAGAGTGAAGACAGATGGTATCAGGGTGAGCTGGCAACATGGATACACAACTGGCTTAGTCACAGGAGACAAGAGTAGTGGTGGAACGATGCTTTTCAGAATGGAGGGCTGTGATTAGTAGTGTTCCACAGGGATCAGTGCTGGGGTCATCTCTGCTGTTCATGATCTGGTGGAAAACATACCTGGTCTAATTAGTAAGTTTGCGGATGATACCAAAGATTGATGGAATTGCGGATAGTGATGAGGATTATCAGAGGATACAACAGCATATAGATCACTTAGTGACATGGGCAGAAAAATGAGGTGATGCGTTTTGGAAAGTCAAGTACAGGTGTAAATTATACAGTGAGTGGCAGAATCCTTAGGAGCATTGATGTGCAGAAAGATCTGGGTGTGCACGTCCACAGATCACTGAAGGTGACAGCGCAGGTAGATAAGATGCAGGTAGTTCTCCTATAACACGATAGTTGCATTCTTGCGTGACCTCGTGCTATAGAAAATTGCCATCAAAAAAAATCACATTACAGGGAAATCATTATACCTGTACAGTAGAAAGCTCGCGTCATCCAAAAAGTGTCCACTATTCATCAATCGCATTATAGCCATTCGTGTTAATGAAACACGCGTTATAGCAGAGCTACCTGTAGGAAGAAAGGCCTGTGGCATGCTTGCCATCATTGAAAGGGGCATTGAGTATCGGGATGGACAAGTTATGCTGCAGCTTAATAGAACTTTAGTTAGGCCCCGTTTGGAATATTGCGTGCAGTTCTGGTCACCGCACTACCAGAAGGATGTGGATGCTTTGGAGAGGACACAGAAAAGGTTTACCAGGATGTTGCCTGATATGGGGGATTTTAGCTATGAAGAAATGTTGGATAGACTGGGTTTGTTTTCACTGGAACGCAGAAGGTTGAGGGGTGACCTAATAGAAGTTTCTAACATTGTGAATGGCGTGGATAGAGGGGAAAGTATGCTTTTTCCCAGGGTTGACGGGTCAATTATTAGGAGACGCAGGTTCAAGGTGCGAAGAGGGGGAAGTTTAAGAGAGATGTTTGAGGCACGTTCCTTTTCATACAAAGGATGGTAATGCCTGGAATGCACTACCAGAGGAGGTGGTCTAAGCAGACACCATAACAACATTCGAAGCGCCTGGATGAATACATGAATTGGAGGAGAATGGAGGGATATGGATCCTGCAGGTGAAGGCAGTTTTAATATGGAAGGGCAAAATGTGTTGGCACAGGCTTGGAGGGCCAAAGGGCCTGTTCCTGTGCTGTAATATTCTTTGTTCGAGCTCAAGTGACTGTAATATGATGCAGTTAAACTCCAGACAATAAAAGAAAGTGGTAATCCAGGTGCAAGTGCGTAAAATTGGAATAGGGAAAGTTTTATGAAGTTAAGCCTCCTAAGTGTAGTGGAACACAAAGTTAGCAAGATAGATTGTCGATCAGGAAAAGGAAATTGCAATGAATCTGATTAGATGGGCCTCTGCAATCAATTTGTTGAAGGAATGTGGGCATTAGTTGCTGAGCTGGCATTTGTTGCCCAACCCTAGTTGCCCTGGAGAAGGGGGTGGTAAGACTCCCTTTTGAACTGCTGCAGTCCATTTTTTTTTTTTAGTACAGATTCATCCAAAATCCTGTTGGGCAGTGATTTCCAAGATTTGACCCAGTGACACCTGAAGGAACAGCAATTATATTTCCAAGTCAAAATGATGGGTGTCTCGGAGTGGAAACGTGCAGGTGCTGGTGTTCACATATCTCTGCCCTTTCTGGTGGTACAAAGTTCTGATGGAGCGAAACTGAATTTCCAGAAGAGAGATCATTTGTGACAAGCTGAATTACATTATTTGAGGAAGTGACAGACTTTGAGACATTTAGGAAAGGTTTTTGGGTGAAGAGTTTTGCAATGAGTAGCAATTTGGATTAAAAGCTAGCTAGGCATAGAAAACTGAAGATTAGTGTTAAGAACAGCATGAGTAGTGGTGTACTAAAGCTTGTAGTTTGGGATCCCTTCTGTTCACTGATTAAGTCAATAATCTAAATATAAGGCAAGAGTAAGAGCTGCCCAAACTTGTGGTTCACAAGAGTCGACTTGATTAATCATTTTGAGATCCAAATGAAGCTGCAAAAGGGTATTTACAAAATATGGAATATGCTAGTAAACGTGAGAATAGTACATATTCATTTCAGACAATATACAATTGGAAGAGGAGAAAGTTGGATAATGTGTAAGAGCAGAGGAATTTGTTGGTTTTAGGGTGTAGAGAATTTTAAAACACCACTTCAGATGGATAAAGCCATTTTAAAGTGAGCTAAAGGTCAGAAATATTGAGTACACAAGGCAAGATGTTGTGACGAGAGCCATTCCTGTATGCAATTTGTACTAGTAAGCTAGCAATCTGAAAATAGTAACGTTCAGAGAACAGAAAGTTCCAAGGGACTGCTACGTTTCAACTTTCCAAAGCATCCGTTATATTCAGTACCGCCTCAGGGTGAAGACAGGGTTTATTGCAAGATTTTTAGTCAGTCACTCAACAATTCCAGGGTTACTGATTCATAAGTTTAGATAGATGGCTTGAAGCAGTCAGAGGTGAAGGTTGTTGCTTTCAGGCTGAATGCCAGTCAATTCTTTAGTAGCAGGGAGAAGAGGCTCCGTCCCAAAAAGAAGCTGCTGATGTTAGAACTCAAGCCTGAGGAGTTACAGGTGCAACTCAGTGTTAGGGTTAGGACTTGAACTCCTATAAGCTGTGGGGAGGCTCAGAAGACGTTGTATAACATATGGAGATAGTAGGAACTGCCAATGCTGGAGTCTGAGATAACAAGGTGTGGAGCTGGAGGAACACAGCAGGCCAGGCAGCATCAGAAGAGCAGGAAAGCTGACGTTTTGGGTCTGGACCCTTCTTCAGAAATGGGGGAGGGGAAGGGGGCTCTGAAATAGAGAGATGGGGGTCTGTGATCGAAGGTCGATAGTGGAGCAGATAGGTGGCGAGAAGATGGACAGGTCAAGGAGGCGGGGATGAAACTAGTAAAGGTGAGTGTGGGTAGGAAGTTGGGATGGGAGTTGGTTAGTGAGGAGGGAGGGGCAGATGGGTGGGAGGGAAGATGGACAAGTTAAGGAGGCGGGGATGGGGGGCACGGTGCTGGTCTTGGGATGAGGTCGGGGGTGGGGAGATTTTGAAGCTTGCAAAGTCTACATTTGAGACCATTGGGTTGTAGGGTTCCAAGGTGGAATATGAGATGCTGTTCCTCCAGTTTTCGGGTGGCACCATTGTGACACTGGAGGAGGCCCAGGATGGACATGTCGCCTCCTTGACCTGTCCGTCTTCCCACCCACCTATCCGCCCCTCCCTCCTCACTGACCAACCTCCATCCCAACTTCCTACCTACACCCACCTTTACTAGTTTCATCCCCGCCTCCTTGACCTGTCTGTCTTCTCTCCACCTATCTGCTCTACTGTCCACCTTCTGTCACCGAACACCCCCTTCTCTATTTATTTCAGAGTCCCCTCCCCTCCCACACCCCCATTTCTGAAGAAGGGTCCAGACCCTTAACGCCAGCTTTCCTGCTCTTCTGATGCTGCCTGGCCTGCTGTGTTCCTCCAGCTCCACGCCTTGTTATCTCTATTGTGTAACATATGTAGTGCAATGTAGCTTAGAGAGAAGATCTAGAAATTCTACAGTGTTTGCTTTGTGCAGCTGGGCAAGATTAGAGCTTGGAGGAATGCACAGGCAGTACCAATTTAATGAAGCTTACTGTCTATGGATAAGCTGAAACTGTACCCATGAGTAGGTGTGGGCGAGCATTTTGCAGAATCTAGAGGAGCACACTTGCAGTTTGGAGAGTGAACTGCCAGAACATGAGCTATCTTTGAGGCAATCCACAATGGAGTGATTTTTATGGGTGTTCTAAAAGTGAATCTTTGTAAAGTTTAATGCGCTTTGACAACCCACAGTGTCACTAACGCTTGGGTATTGCTGAGAAATCTGTGGGATCTGTCTTGACTGCATAAACCATTTTTTACACTCTGGGTTATGAAGACCCAATTTGTCTGTTATCCATATTTGCCTTGGGTTAATTTGAGATGTTGGAAATGTGTGGGACATGTATTGTAGATTATTACTATTCTACCTTTCTTAGTAAAGTTTATTGTTGTTTGTTCATAACTTTGAAATCTTGTAGCTTTATTAAGTACCCTGGAGCTCTCATTTTATCAAGTTTTTAAAAAAAACTAGTCCCTATCTAGATTTTAATGTGAATTTGGCAGTCTGGTCTGGAGTCATAACAATGTAATGAGAGACTGCTGTTTGTGAGTACTGTCTGCCTGTTTGGATGCCACATCACATAAAGGATGTTGAAGCAATGGAGTGTGCACAGTCTAGGTTCACAAGGGCTCTGCTGTCTTGTATTCATACAAATATGAGCAAAAACCTGCAAAATTGAGGCTACTTTTTGTTTGAGCAGAGATTAGAGGATAATTCTATATGATTAATACTACAAAGGAACAGTACAAAATAGACTTTTTTCCAATGATTGAAGGATCTAGAATTAGGGGGCATAGTATAAATTAAACAGAGATTTAGGACAGAACTGGATAACCCTGTTTCTTTACACAAGAATCATTAGCTACAGTTGAAGCCAAGCATGTTAACATCAAAGCAAATGTAAACAAGTGGTTGAAGTGGCATGGAAGTAGGGCATGCACATAGAAACTGAGATAGCAGAACCCCTTCTAGTATAAATAGTTCTGTGACATCGACATTAGTTTGTCCAGCATACAAGCTGGTCATTTCTGACAAAATCGCTTTATTGTAGCATTTGCTGCATACTGTATTCATCTTCAATAATGATGGTTAGGTCACACAAAGCTGTAACTGTAGTTCTTCATGAAATGTATAAAGGCATTTTAACATTTTATTTCATTTTAGATACAAACGATTTTGTTTGTAATATCCACTAGGAGTGGTGGAGAAAAGAATGATCAGGGATTATCTCTTTAAATCAAGAATTTTTTTTGGAGAAATGCAAAGATGGCCTGCAGTTTGAATCATCATATAATGTTTACATTGAGTGCATTGTGCAAGTATAGAGGGAAAAGAAGTGTTAATGTTTTCTAACAGATTTGAAGCACTGTGAAAGATGCCTTGGGATGAGATGGCAATCTATCTCAATTATGATTAAAATGGGTTGTGCATAATTATTTTACATATCACGTTTAGGCACTTAATTAAATTTGAATAACATGGAAAAGTCTCATACATGACAAGGCAGCAATCTTTTCAATTTAGGGGAAATACTGATTAACTTGTCAGTCCCTCTACTGTGGGTGCCCTGCAGAGTTGGGCTTTGTTGCTTTTCATGGGAACCAATTCCTCTCTGTTTTGTCCCTTTTGTGTAGTAATCAAGCAATACGTATGATGGAAAGACGTGAGAAACCAACGCCTGACATGTTTGGGGAGCTTCTGCAGAATGCAAGCACAATGGGCGATCTTAGGAACTGTCCAGTATGTGTCTATTCACTCCTTTTTCTCTGCATTTAAATGGCCTTAGATACAAGGGAATCAATTCACTTTAATGTAGTTACTTCATACCTTAAGGGATGAATGCAAAGTAATTCTCTAATACATTGATATTTGTCATGTAATGAGTTATAGTTTGAATAGCACCATGACAACATTCCGATCACTGCGCAGGTGCATGTTTGCTTGTATACAACTGTTTAAAAATCGCCTCTTGATATTTGGCTGCTCAGTCCCTACCCATTGGTTGGGGAAGATCTGCACAAGGCAGTGATCAGAATACTGCATTCCTGGCCTGGGAATATCCACGCAGCAATTCTTCAATGTCTACAACTTGCTAGCAGATTAGCTGGCAACATTTTATTTTATTTCAGAGTTTGCTTACAAATTCTGAGCGAAAGATGCAAGAAAAACTGGTTTTAAGTTATCGGGGGAAATAAAAGGACAAAGCTGAACTGAAAATAAAAAAAAAAAATGTCCTGGATATTCGTCTGTTGTATGTGTGCAGCTTAATCATTTTCATGAGTGTCTTGGACTTGATTACATGTTTCTTTCTTCCACTGCAGTATTTTTACATCTGTAAATATACCACTTTGAAACCTATTCAAGAGCCCATTTAATGCTTTGTTGATATTCTTTTATGCTAAAAATGCTTCATGGTAATTTTTATGCATTTGGAAGAAGGCTTGTGAACGTAATGGAGACTCAACGACTACAGTCCATTGCTAAATGTGAAAGGTTCAGTAGCTATAAACTATTTCTATTTCCTGACTGAAAAAGTGACCTACTCTTAATTTTATTAAGTTCATTTGAAGTGGTTTTGTAATATTAAGTCCAAATGCATGGACTATGTTTATATCATTTGTTTCATCCATCTGTATTGCTCTGTTTGTCTTTGGATAAATGACCTAATTTAAATCAACTGATCTATATTTAAAACAAAAGTGTATTCACTTTGCTCTGGAAATGGAATGTCATCCTTCCATAATAACTTTGTAAGCCATATTTTAAAATGTACTTGGAAGTGTTCATTCAAATTTTATGCACCCTGATTTCCTCCTTTCTCCTTTGTTATCCCTGTCTTCTCCAGTCTAATACCTCCCTGAAACAACTAAATGTCCAGATACATGCAGGCTGTATTTGATGTGACTTACATTTGTAAGCAGTTGTTTTGCCTTCACCTGGCTGTTCTAACGTACATTAAAGCCTGCATAAAGGCTCTGCTTCCATGCTATATCAAATGTAAGGACACAATTGGTCTCAGTCCGGTTGATTTGAGTTTCAGTACTGTTTTTGGTAGAGCTGCTGTCTCCCCAGCAACAAGACTGTTGAAGCAATAAAGCTAAAGAACAGGGCAATTTCATTGATATGGCTGAAGATTTCCCTAATTGTCATAAACATTATTTGTTTTTTTTTCATTATTCATTATCAAGCTTATGGCATAGTTAATGTTTTTCTGGTGTTTCCTGAAATTTCCTTTGCTCCATTTGGTTTTAGTTTGATAACACTTGACGTGCTGATTGGTAGAACCCTGTACATTCTGCCTGTTAATCCTGACTGTGTGCTAAAGACAATTCATTTTATGGGGGTTGGTTAAAGATCGGAACGGCAACCAGTCTAATGAATGGATGTACAGCAGCTCTTAGAATATTTTCAGATTAAACCACTGAAATTGTGTAGCTGTTTCAACACCTGCATTAGTTTGAGATGATCATATTGCCTGACCAGATCTCTGGGCATTAAGTTAGTTAAATGTTATAGAAAATAGGTGCAGGAGTAGGCCATTCAGCCTTTGAGCTTGCACCACCCCCTGAAAATGATCGAGGCTGATCATGCAATTTCAGTATTCCACTCCTGCTTTCTGTACATATTTCTTGATCCCTTTAGCCACAAGGGCCACATCCAGCTTCCTCTTGAATGAATATATCTAATGAACTGGCCCGAACAGCTTTCTGTGGTAGAGAATTCCATAGGTTCACAACTCTGTGAATGAAAACATTCTTTCTCATCTCAGCCCTGAATGACTTATTCGTTATTCTTAGAGTGTGACCCTTAGTCCTGGACTTCCCCAACACCGGACTGTTCTTCCCGCATCTAGCCTGTCCAGTCCCATCAGGATTTTATGTTTCTTTGTGATTTCCCCCGCCCGCCATCTTATTCTTCAAAATTCCAGTGAGTACAAGCCGAGTTGAACTGGTCTTTAGAATCCCTACCCTGTGGAAACAGGCCCTTCGGCCCAACAAGTCCACACCGATCCTTGGAGAATCCCACCCAGACCCATCCCCTTATAACCCACCTAATCCCTGAACGCTATGGGCAATTTAGCATGGCCAATCCACCTAACCTGCACATCTTTGGACTGTAGGAGGAAACCACGGCACCCGGAGGAAACTCACGCAGACATAGGGAGAATGTGCAAACTCCACACAGACAGTCGCCCAAGGGTGGAATTGAACCCGGGTCCCTGACGCTGTGAAGCAGCAGTGCTAACCACTGAGCCATTGTGCTGCCCCTAATGTCTTAATATCAGTCCTACCATCCTGGGAATTAGTCTGATAAATCTTTGCTGGAATCCCTCAATAGCAAGAATGACCTTCCTCAGACTGGGAAACAAAACTGCACACAATATTCAAGGTGTGGCCTCACCAAGGTCCAGTAAATTGCAGCAAGACCTTCCTATTGAGATATTCAATTCTCTAGCTGTGAAGGCCAGCGTGCCATGAGCTTTCCTCACTGCCTGCTACACCTGCATGCCAAACTCAAGACTGTTCCACCATGACCCTCTGGTCTTGTTGCACCTTATCTTTCCTAAACTGCCACCATTCAGCTAATCTGCCTTCCTATTCTTGCCACCAAAGTGGATAACCTCACATTTATCTGCATACTGCATTTGCCAAGTATTTGCCTACTTAGCCAGCCTGTCCAAGTCACCCTGCAGTCTGTTAGCATCCCTCTCACAGCACACACTGCCACCCAGCTTAGTGGCATCTGCAAATTTGGAGATATTGTACTCCATTCTTTTGTCCAAATTATTAATGTATATTGTGAACGGTTCCGGTTCTTGCACTGAACCTTGCAATATCCCACTCGTCACAGCCTGCCACTCTGAAAAGAATCTGTTTATTTCAACTCGTTGATTCCTGTCTGCCAGCCAGTTCTCTATCCACATCAGTACATTTCCTCCAATACTATGAGCTTTAATTTAGTTTACTAGTCTTTTGTGTGGGACCTTGTCAAGAGTCTTTTGAAAGTCCAGATATACAACATCCACTGATGCACCCTTGTCCGCTTTACTGGTCACATCCTCAAAAAATTCCAGAAGATTTATTAAGCACAATTTCCCTTTTGTGAATCCATGCCAACTTGAACTAATCCTGTCACCACCTTTTCCTATTGCTCAGTTATTACATTTTTAATAATTGATTCCAGCATTTTCTCCACCACTGATGTCAGGCTAACTAGCCTATAATTCCTTGTCTTCACTCCCTTTTTTAAAACGTGGGGTTACATTAGCTACCCTCCAGTCCATTGGAACTCTTCCAAAGTCTATAGAATGCTGGAAAATGATCACCAATGCATCCACTATTTCTAGGGCCCCTTGCTTAAGTAATCTGGGATGCAGAGCATCAGGCCCTGACTATCAGGTTTTAATCCCATCAATTTCCCCAATATCATTTCCTGAGTAAGGATTTCCTTCAGTTCCTTCTTCACGCTTGACCCTCTGTCCCGCAGCATTTCCAGAAGGTTATTCATGTCCTCCTTAGTGAAGTTGGATCCAAAGTATTTGTTCAACTACTAGAACATGTTCCAAAAATACATATGTCAAATTGCACATAATATCATGGGGAAGCGCAGAAGATGAACCTTGAAGTTTGTTTAGTGGGTATTGCACTGATGCTGAGCATATAATTGCTACTGACTTGTAATCGACCATTGGCAAAAGTTAATTAGAAAATGGAAAGACTCCCTTTAAAATATGTGACAACTGTGTCTGAACATGCTTGTGTATATCACCAATGAGTAATGATCTTTTATTGATCTCAGTAACCAATTCAGCAGAAACAATGCAGTATAGTTGTTAATTGTTTTATAATGAAAATTGCAAACCATTGTGCATTTTTTTTTTAAATAGATTTATTATACAAATGAAATACAATGGCATAATTGGGTGTTTTGGACTTTATAATACAAGGCTTGGATTACCACCAAACAAAAGTTCTGAGACTGCCCAGGGCATATTGTAATGATTTTTTTTGACCTTCTGTCACTATCACTAAGCTAGGACAGTGTGAGGTGGAAATAGCAAAGCATATATACAAATAAATTGTAGTATACAGTCTGTCAATTTCAGTGTTTAGTCAGGAAAAATTATTTTGCATCTTTGTAATTAGAAGCGTTTTCAATTATTTCATTACATTTGGGAAAAGTGGCAGAATATTCTATTTTAATCACGCACAAAGCTTCCATAATTTTGTTAGTAATGCAAGCTGCAGACTTTTAAAAAAAATTTATTAAAATTTGTAAGCAAACTGATCATCTGTTTGCAGAGGCTGAACAGTAAAGACTTCACCCACCAGTAGTGGGAGCCCTGAATGGGGATTAAGTGTATTGGCTGGTTGACCTATTTCCGCCTCTTTTTCACTGGGTATTAAATCTGATTACAATGCTTACTTGACTTAACCAAGGCTAAAAGTTGAACCTGGTGCTTTCCTGATCTTTGTTAACAGACTGTTGGGAAGCTTCAACTTTTCCACCTCCTCAGTGGCCCAGTAAAGGGGAGAGAATTTATTTATAACGTATACTAAGTTGTTTGGATAGTATGTCATTGTAGTAATTTTTAGTCAAATCTGAAGTAGTAACTTCAAACGGTTGTGTCCATGATAGCCATCTGACACTTATCTACTCAAATCTTGTTTTCCAGCCCTTGACCTCTAGCCTTGTATACTAATGGTGTCTCAAGTGTTAATCTAAACACTTTCTAAAGGTTGAGGGTCCTTGTCTCGACCACACTTTCAGGCAGCGAGTTCCCACCCTCTGAGTGAAACATACTTTCCTCAAAACCCCTCTAAATCTCCTGCCCTTACCTTAAATCTGTGACCCTGGCTATTGACTCTTCCAGTAAAATGAAAAATTCCTTCTGATCTGTCCTATCTATGCCCCTCAATTTGATACATCTTAATCCGATCCCCCCTCGGTCTTCTCTTGCTGCAGGGAAAACAGCCCTACCCTATCTAGTCTGTCTTCATGCTGCAGCACAGGCAAGTTCCCCTCCAAGTCACTTACCATCCTGACTTGGCAATATAGAAATATTAAAAAAAATATATAAAAATGGAAGATGGGAGGAATAGCCTTTTGACCCCTCGAGCCTGCTCTACCATTTGTTATGATCGTGGCTGATTATTGAGTTTGTGCCCTAACCTTGACATCTCCCGATGTCCCTTGATCCCTTTAGCTACAAGAGCTATATCAACCTCATCGTTGAAAACAATATTTTGGCTTCAGCCACTTTGGTGAATTCCGCAGGCTCACTGCTGTCTGGGTGAGAAATTTCTCCTCATCTCAGTCTTAAACCGTTTACTCCTAATACTTAAACTATGACCCCTGGTTCTGGACTCCCCACAGTTGGGAACATATTATGGCAGCTGGTGAAACTTGAATTCAGTAAAAATATGGTGTTAAAATCTTGTTTAATGGTGCTCATGTAACCATTGTTGATTGTCATAAAAGCCCATAATGGTTCGATAATGTCTTTTAGGGAAGGAAATCTGTTCTTAACTAGTCTGGCGGCTTCGTGACTCTAGACCCATAGCACTGCGGTTGACTGTCTGAAAAGGCTGAGCAAGCCACTGAATTCAAGGACAGTTACGGCTGGGCAATAAGTGTTGACTTAGCTACTTAAACCTACAATCCGCGGAAGAAATAAGCAAAAATTCTGCATTAATATTGGAGAGCTTGAAATCCCTTACAACTGCTATTGTTGTTATTAAACGTCAGTGCGATTTGCCTACATATATCCTTCTGTGTCTTTGACTGTTTTGGGCTACTGTAATACTCTCCCAACAATGTGATCGTCCCATTTTTGTTTACAAGCGCTACTTAAATGGCCTCATTTCAGAAACCTTCGATAGTGGGGGAACAAACAACAAAGTGCTGCTGATGGTGGAAATCCGAAACAAAATCGGAACTTGCTAGAAAACTCAGCAGGTTAGGTAGCATAGGTGGAGAGAAAGCAGAGTTAATGACCTGCTCAGCTTTTACAGCAACTTCTATTTTATTTAATGTTTTGGGTCTTTGAAGTGTTCAGGTGCTCTAAGCAGTAAAGTGAGGCTGACTGGATTGCTGTACAGAGAGCTGTATGAACACTGTGGACTGAATAGCAGCCTCCTGTCCATTATCTCTGAGACTTAATTTTGAGCTTTCAACACATATGCTGCATAAAGTAGGCACTGTTCTTGTTTGCTTTTGTTTTAGCGGTACCATGTAGGGAACTGCGTATATCTTTTTTTCAAAAAACAACTTTTGATTTCCTTTACAGAGCAACTGTGGTGAGAAGATCAGAATCCGCAAAGTGTTAATGAACTCGCCGGAGATAATCACTATTGGTCTGGTCTGGGATTCTGATCATTCTGATCTTGCTGAAGATGTTATCCATAGTCTAGGAACGTGCCTCAAGTTGGGAGATGTAAGATGGCTATAGCTATTTATTATTGCACAATAAGGAAGAAAAATTCTAAATTCATTACTTTGCATCCATTTTTTAACGAAATATTTACAACATGAAACCTAAAAGCAGATCAAGTTGAGAATCCGGTTTAACTGAAGTAAAGAAATGGCAGTGGAGAAATTAGTTGAATTTAGGTGGACAATTTTCCAAAGGACTGTAGATTCAGGAATTGACTTTTTTTGGAGTGGAAAATTGTAAATGCTGCTGTTGCTTTCACGATAAGCAGGAGGAATAAACTAGGAAACTGAAGGTCTGTCTGTTTGACATCAGATGTGGGTAAATTTCTGGAAATGTTGGAGCTGGAGTGACTGAACACTTGGGTAAGTATTAACTGATCCAAGAGAATCACTATGAATTTATGATAGGTATTGTCATGGTGGACTAAGCTTTCTGAATTTTTTGAGACCAGTAACAAGGTGAATAGGAAGTGTATTTAGACATTGTCTGTGTGGACTTTAGTGTAGTTTTTTGTTGGCGCAGACTCAATAGGCCGAATGGCCTGGAAGACGTAGATATGACTCCCTGCAAGAAATTAATAGGCAAAAGTGAAAGTGCACTAAATTGGTGATAATTCAGTTACATTGGCTGATACTTTGCTTGCGAGGTAAGAGCCATAGATTTTAGAAAAGAATGAATGTTCTCTGCTTGGTGAGCTGTGACAGGTAGTGGTTGTGAAGAATCTGTAGTAGGCTCTCAGCATTACACAATCTATTGTGATGACTTAGTTGGAGTAATAGAGAAATGTATATATTAATGGGAGCATGAAATTGCAAAGGGACAGAGACTAAGTGAGTGAGCAAAGCTGTATCAGATGAAGTTCAGTGTGGACAAATGTTAAGCAATCGACGTTGGCCTTGAGAAAAACAAATTGGAATGGTAGTATAGTGCTGAAGCTAGGAACAATGGAAAAGCCGAGGGAATTGATACGGCAATCACTATAAGCTATAAATAAGCAATATAGATGAAGACCAGTCGCCCAAATTTGATATGCATTTCCCTGACTTTAGAAGTTTTAGGCTGATCTCATTGAAATTCTTAAAATGGTGAAAAAGCTTGATGATGATTGGCTAGCTAGAGAGAACGTAATTCTATTGTAGGAAAATCCAAAACAAGGGCACAATCTTAATATTAGAGCCAGGCGGTTTAGAAGTAAAATCAGGAAGCATTTCTAAGCAACAGGAATTGAATATCAGGAACTTTGCCTAAAAAGCCTGTGAATAAGAGTTAATTTGAAATTCTAAAGATTGAGATCTGTCGACCTTTTTTGATGTATAATTTGTTCTGGGTACGTGTGTTGCTTGTTAGGCCCATGTTTGTTGTTAGATCATGGTGTCAAATTATATGGATTAGTGATAGTTCAACTATATTTATCTATCATTTAATAGAATTTCAGACTGGCTTGATTGACTGAATAGCCAGTTTTTGCTCCTATGTATTATTGTGTTTGATAATCAGTTACATCAGTAAATCTTTGTACATTTTTCATTTATTTGAACATTAATTTTGACATTTAACGTGGTTCAAATGTCTATTGGCAATTTGCAGTCATTTAAATAATATTGGTTTAGTCTGTTGTTCACATGATCCAATGTAGTAATCTTTGTTCTAATGCAGTTATTAAATTTGAGTTAGTACTATTTCTTTTGCCTCTCATCATTTCAAATGCAGGCCAGTTGGTTTATATTAAAGCTTTATAACCTGCTTTGTGAAGAACTATTCATTGATAAATGTAAAATTTTATTACTCTGGTTAAAGCACAGAATTATTTTGGAGCCATTTGGCCCATCAGGCCTTCAAACAAGCATCATCACCAAGTGCCCCATCTCCTGCTATTTTTCCCTTACCCTTGCACACTATTTGTTATCCTCTTGAATGCTTCAGTTGAACCTGGCTCCACCACGTTTCCATATCCTACCTCCACGATGCATGAAAATGTTGTCTTTCTTTTTTCCCCCCACATTTAAATCTCTCATTCTTGTTCCTTTTCCAGGCAGGAACTTCTCCCTAACTACTGTATCTAGCCTGCTTATGATTTTGTAAGCCTCTATCAAATCATCTACTTTCCTTCTCTCCAAGGAGAACAGTCCTGACTTCTTACCCTCATAACTGAAATTTCTCATTCCTGGAACCATTCTCATAAACCTCTTCTGCAGTCTCTCCAATGCATTCACATCTTTCCTATAATATGATGTCCACAACTGTACACAGTACTCCAGCTGAGGTCTAACAAGTGTCCTGTACAGGTTGAACATCAAGTCCTTGGTTTGTACTCTGCCTCTATTAATAATGTTGAGGACACTCATTGATTGCCATCTCCATCTGTTTTGCACCTTCAATGATCTGATAGAATTAGGAGTTAATGTAGACATGAAGCTGAGATGTGTTTGTGGTTTTAGAACATTTTTTTTATTTTGATACATGCCCATTGTGTCTATAGTGGAAATTAGCATCAAAGTTATTGACTAGCAATCTACTTGATATTTTGAACATTTCTTTTGGATTTTAAGGCCAGTTTTGGCTGCAGAAGGTTACAGGCTAATTCACTTGAAGGTGTTCATTATTGGGAAAACACAATTGAACTAATTTACTGCTTCACCATTCGGTAACAGTCTGAATTTTATTTGCACTTTGGTGTAGATTTCACGAAAGAAAAGCTAGTTTCTGTCTTTGTGCCATTTTTCAGTTCTGTTGATAGAAGATGAGAATAACTGTTTGCTTGTTGCCTTAGCAACGCAAGCTGATGGCTTTTTTTTGTACTGAATGGAAACATTTTAAGACAATGAATATAGATCAGAAATTTAGAAGCAGGTCTGGGAATATCCGTTGATTGCACTGCACTTTTCTCTAAATAGTTGCTGTCAGGTCTGGAATGCAGAAATAAAATCAATGAAGAACTGATTAAATAACTCAGCAGTTGCAGCATTTGTTATGGCAACTGTCCCTTTTTTTAAGTTGGCTTGCCAATTTGAATCTGTTTTCCACATTCCATGGTTGATTGTCATGTGTTATTTCAATACTGTGGAAAAAGTGGGGGGAAAAAAAACTTTGAATTTAAAAATGAAACATATTATTTGTTTCTGGGTCCATATTCAGATTACAAATGGAAATCACATTTCACCAGTTCCACAATAGAATAGTAAATGTAGACTCGGTCCACTACCTAGAATCTCTATTGATGGTATTAAGGTTTTACTGTGGCTGACAAAGAGCCAGTATTCAGTCAATGCCAATAAAACCAAAATATTGAGAAACATAACAAGTATTAACAGGAAGTTAATTTTTTATTTTAAACCGGATTTGCTGCCCTCTTGGTTTGAGACCATCACAGTTAATTCTCGGCCGGTCTTTTCTGAAGCAGAAAGAATATACCAAAGAGTGCAGAAACCTAATATTATATACAGAGCTTGTTTATATTCCTCGCAGATCTTTTATTTCCAGCTATGTATGTGCATACTCTTGTGTTTTAATTCTGTTGTTAATAAACAGTGACCAATTAACCCCCTTGGGTAATTTGTGAAATGTTTAGGAGCCTTGTTGCCTGCAATATAGTATTGTTTGCAACAAGGTCTCACAGTAGGCAAAAACAGCATCCCATGCTCTTAAATTGAAACATTGACTAGCATATAAACGAAACAGGCTAATTGCTTGATTTCAGGTAATTCAGTCAATGTTTCATCTTGTTCATTGGTTGATGAACTAAGACTTGTCATTTTGCTTTCTGGAAAGCTAGAATAACTAGGGCAGCTATTGATGTAGATAATCTCTCACCATTGTAAACAAGGCTGATTTAGATATAGCCTGACAATTTAATTTAACTTTTATTGGATATCTTTTGTATTTTGCAGCTTTTCTATCGGGTGACAGATGATAAAGCTAAACACACCGAGCTCTATTTGGTGGGGATGGTGTGTTACTATGGTAAACACTATTCTACCTTCTTTTTCCAAACAAAAATTCGCAAGTGGATGTATTTTGATGATGCCCATGTGAAAGAGGTAGGAGTTCTTTACCTAAAATGCTGTATTATTGTCTTTGATGTATTTTGTTCAGGAGACATGATATTCTTGGCCTCTAAGTGGCTGAATCATGGCGCATTAATAAAATAACTGTGACATCACAGCCATGTCTTCAGCTGTTTTATGCTTTGCTCATACTTTTACTTCCTATGTACATGATTTAGAATGGTATTTGAACTGTAAATTCTGACAGTCATACGTGAAAGAACGTGAACCATTCCCCTGCCACCCCCACCCCCCAACATCTATCAGAACATTTTCCCTCTCAGTAATTTCATCTGAATGCAGTAGTGTTTAATTGAGAACCACATCACCAGTAGGAGTTACTGTTTGTATGCAATGTTAACTAAATATATCTGTGACAATGCAGCCTTTTTCTTAGGGTAAATTTAGTGACCTTTGAAGTTTCCACTTTACCTTGATACACAATTCTTAGTTGAGATTGCCAATAAAAAATGTTGCTCCTGCGCGACTGTTGCAAGCAGTTTTAGATCCAATTCTCCTACCCCACAAACAGTCAAAAATAAGTTAACACGTAACCAGACTAAATACAATTTAAGTTTTATGAAGGCCATGTTTTTAGACATATTTGGATTATGAATGCCAGTTTCACAAAAATTGAAACAGTTTGTGCGGATAAGGCAGTACAGTAACAACTCCAGTGTTGCAATTCTTCATACTTTCAATTTAGATTGGACCCAAGTGGAAGGACGTAGTGACCAGATGCATTAAGAGCCACTATCAACCGTTACTACTACTATATGCAGATCCAAGAGGCACTCCTGTATCTGTGCAGGATCTGTCCCTAGCAGATTCTCATCAGTACAGGACCTGTTATGACAGTGAAGATTCAGGTAATTATAACATATAATTTTAAAGACATTAAAAAGGTTTACGAATAGTTTCTGGGATGAGTGACTTCAGTTACTTGAATAATTTGGCGAAGTTGGGCTGTTCTCCTTGGAGAAAAGAACATTGAGCAGAATTTTGGTGGAGGTTTACAAGATCGCGAGGTATCTGGGCAGATTGTGAACTGTGGGGACGATAGTGTAAAATTTCAAAAGGGCATAGTTTGGAGGAATGGGCAGACAATAATTAGATGAAATTAAATACAGAAAAGTAGTGATTCATTTTGGTAGGAAGAACACAGATAATGTAAAATAAAGACTACAGCTCTAAAGAGGGTGTAGGAGCAGTGGTACATAAAACATTGAAGGTAGCAGGAAAGGTTGAAAGAGCAGTTAAAAATGCACAGCATTCAAGGCTTTATTAATAGAGACATCGAGTCCAAAATCCGGGAAGTTACATTTATCTCAACTGAGGTAGTGTGCGCAATTCTGGAAAGAAAGCATTAGGGAAAGTGCAGAAAAGTTGAATGAGAATGATTCCAGCATGAGGAACTTCAATTATGTAAGTGGATTAGAGACATTAGGACAGGTTAAATCAGTGCTAAGTGATTGGCAAAAGATCCGGCAATGACGTGAGAAACCTTTTTCCGTCTAACGGATGTTTAGAACCAGAATGTACTATCTAAAAGATAGATGCAGTCTAGTACATTCTTCACTTTCAAAAGACAACTATAGGGGGGAAACTAAAGGGGGAAAAGTTTTGGGGCTTTGGTGTAAAGGCAGGACATTGGGACTTGCTCAACTGCTGTTGGAGCCAGCAAAAACTAAATAGGCAAAATAACTTGCTTCTATACTGTCACATTCTACAATTGTATGATTATTCGTGAGTGAATAAAGTCTCTTTTTGGTTGAATTTGACTCTCCATGGATGTTTGGAGGAATAGGAATGTCAGAGTGCTGTAATTCCAAATTCTTTTCCAAACCACACATCCTCCCAGTTTGAAGGAACAGTAGTTGATTCCCATAGTCATGGGATCAAACTCCTGAACTTCCCTATCTAACAGCACCAAATGGACTGCAGCAGTTCATGAAGGTGAGTCTCCACCAATGACTCAAAGGAAAAGAGGGATGGGCAAAACATACTTGCCTTATGATCACTGACTGTATTCCATGAATTAATTCTTAAAAATTGAAGTATAAATGTTGCTTTTATGTTGTGAACTTTGTTTTCACAAGGCATGTAAACCATCAGTTTTTTCAAATGTTCACCAACTGTCGACAGAAATTTTGTTTGTTCTTGGGAATATTTGACATCACTCGTGAGAACGTGAGCAGTACTTTCCTTTGTTTTAAAAAAATTCGTGAAATTTCCTCAGGCTTTTTTTTGAAAGTTGTTCAGAATGTTATCAATGAGATCATGGGAGCAAATCATCTGCTTGTTTGCAGTCATAAAATAGAAAGAGTTAGGCAATGCCCACAAAAAAAAACTTTGACAATACGCTAAAAATGCACCATTGTTAGATGCACTGCCATTGTTCCTGAGATGCATCATTTTGATCCCAATCTGTGCTGTTATTAGGTTTCAGCTTGCTCTTCAGTTATCCTCTACAGTGTTGGTTGGGCTGTGATCCACAAGCCAGGCACGAGTTGTTCACAGGAGAATGTTGGACATTGACAGAATCAGGCCTGATCACAGCACTGACTGATAAGACTACAATAAGAATGAGAGACTGTCTTAGAAGTAATATATCCCAGGGCAACAGGTGCCAATGGAATTGCACTCAAGTAAAAGTTGTACTTCTGACACTAGTGAAGGAGGAGAAGTTGTTAACTGTATGTTACACTTGTGCTCATTTGTTACCCTACATTTGTCCTGTCCAATCTCTGTCCAATCTCTGTCCAAACCAATAAATTCACAATGGAAGATTACAAACCTTTCATTACTGTTCTTTGTTGATTTTCTATTATTATTTTAGAGTCTTGAGATTGAGAATTACTTAATTATGATTTGTGACTTTCCAAATGATATAAACTGAAGTTTGGGTAAAATCTGTATGAAGTGTTTATTCGCTAAGCACAATGTTTGGGTTCTCTTTCCTTTTAATTGATTTCTGCACGCTGACCTTTAATAGTTAGAGATAGTGGGAACTGCAGATGATGGAGAATCTGAGATAACAAGGTGTAGAGCTGGATGAACACAGCAGGCCAAGCAGCATCATAGGAGCAGGAAGGCTGACGTTTCGGGCCTAGACCCTTCTTCAGAAATGGGGGAGGGGAAGGGGGTTCTGAAATAAATAGGGAGAGAAGGGGAGGCGGATAGAAGATGGATAGAGGAGAAGATAGGTGGAGAGGAAACAGACAGGTCAAAGAGGCGGGGATGGAGCCAGTAAAGGTGAGTGTAGGTGGGGAGGTAGAGAGGAGATAGGTCAGTCCAGGGAGGACAGACAGGTCAAGGGAGCGGGATGAGGTTAGTAGGTAGGAAATGGGGGTGCGGCTTGAGGTGGGAGGAGGGGATAGGTGGGAGGAAGAACAGGTTAGGGAGGCGGGGACGAGCTGGGCTGGTTTTGGGATGCGGTAGGGGGAGGGGAGATTTTGAAGCTTGTGAAATCCACATTGATACCATTGGGCCGCAGGGTTCCCAAGCGGAATATGAGTTGCTGTTCCCGCAACCTTCAGGTGGCATCGTTGTGGCACTGCAGGAGGCCCAGGATGGACATGTCGTCTGAGGAATGGGAGGGGGAGTTGAAATGGTTTGCGACTGGGAGGTGCAGTTGTTTATTGCGAACCGAGCGTAGGTGTTCTGCAAAGTGGTCCCCAAGCCTCCGCTTGGTTTCCCCGATGTAGAGGAGGCCACAACGGGTACAGCGGCTGCAGTATACCACATTAGCAGATGTGCAGGTGAACGTCTGCTTGATGTGGAAATTCTTCTTGGGGCCTGGGATGGGGGTGAGGGAGGAGGTGTGGGGGCACATGTAGCACGTCCTGCGGTTGCAGGGAAAAGTGCAGAGTGTGGTGGGGCTGGAGGGGAGTGTGGAGCGGACAAGGGAGTCACGGAGAGAGTGGTCCCTCCGGAAAGCAGATAAGGGTGGGGAAGGAAAAATGTCTTTGGTGGTGGGGTCAGATTGCAGATGGCGGAAGTGTCGGAGGATGATGCGTTGGATCCGGAGGTTGGTGGGGTGGTACGTGAGGATGAGGGGGATTCTTTTTTGGTTGTTATTGCGGGGACGGGGTGTGAGGGAGACATGGTGGAGGGCGTTCTTGACCACTGAGGGGGAGGATGTTGCGGTCCTTGAAAAACGAGGACATCTGAGATGTGCGGGAGTGGAATGCCTCATCCTGGGAACAGATGCGGCGGAGGTGAAGGAATTGGGGATAGGGGATGGCATTTTTGCAGGAAGGTGGGTGGGAGGAGGTGTATTCTAGGTAGCTGTGGGAGTCGGTGGGCTTGAAATGGATATCGGTTTCTAGGTGGTTGCCCGAGATGGAGACAGAGAGGTCCAGGAAAGTGAGAGAGGTGTTAGAGATGGTCCAGGTGAACTTAAGGTTGGGTTGGAAGATGTTGGTGAAGTGGATGAACTGTTCGAGCTCCTCGTGGGAGCATGAGGCGGCACCGATACAGTCATCAATGTAATGGAGGAAGAGGTGGGGTTTAGGGCCAGTGTAGGTACGGAAGAGGGATTGTTCCACGTAACCTACAAAGAGGCCTTACCTTTTTTTTGAAGCCTTCCCTTAAATTGCAGAGCTTGAAAGCCTTGTGTGTAGATTAAGAATTGGTTCATGGATGCATGATTGTTGTATAGTAAAAAGACTTGTGTTCCCTCTGCTAAATTTCACTCACTTGAAAATGTTTGCCAAAACTGGTGATCCAAAGCCAATTTAGATGGCCGGTGTAATAGCAATTTGCGATGAGTTGTGGATAGTCTTACTGAATCATGATTTTATGGCATTTCTTTTTGTAGGAAGAGAACCATCTATATCGAGTGACAGCAGGACAGATTCTTCTAATGACAGCTACCATTACAAACACAGTCATCATGAGTCTGCGGTCAGCTGTTTCTCCTCTGACTCAACGGGTACAGTGATTTATAACATGGAGAATGATACAGCCTCCCAAAGCAGCAGGGATACAGGTACTATAAATTCGGAATTGAAATGTAGCCCAAAGAACAGAAAATCAATTTCTCACAGTACAGATCCTGGCAGAATGCACTAAATTAAGGTAATATAGGATTGTAATTTCAGCAAAGGAAGTTTTTACAGTGGATGCTGAAAATAGAAGTGTAATAAAAGCTGAAATTAAGTTGATCCAGTTCTCTTAAATTGCCAACTCACTGAGCCTTTAGAATTTTTTTTTAGACACTTTTGAGATATAAATAATATTTTGTGAATACATGTCCCATTGAAGAGCTTGAAACTTGAATTTTCAATTTTTTAACTTGTGATGCATAAATTCAAACAAATTAGCTAATGCAGTCTTTTGTTGTGTGGAATTAATTCGGCACCTGGGATTAAAATAGTGGAATCAGCCAAAATAATCTGCATAAAGCCTTGAACTATTTTGATGTCAGTAATCTGGTCACTATAACAATTAACTACCATGTCTGTTAGCTGCACTTTGATCAGTTACATTTCACTTGTTGGTTTTGATGATGTTAAATTGTTCACTGCTTGCTGTGGCGGGGTAAACATGGCAGGTTAATGGACAGGGAATGGGGAACCTGTTGTTGGGAAATGAAATTTTTCTGAAGGGGCTGCAGGTAACCCAGCACATGTTGAATATACTCTGGTGTATATTCAAAATAGATGGTGCCTAGACTCAACAAGTAGCTTTTGGGTAAACGAGTTGACCGTTGTAATGATGAGGATATTGCATCTGACACTTAGCTAAGGGTACGTTGAGTCGACAAGGTTGAAAGGTTTTGGCTCACCTGGGGAGGATGCTGGAAATAATGACATGCGTAGATTTTGTGGCCAGACTATTTTTTTGTGAAAGACTATATTGTAATGCCAGTCTTACAACTGAAGGAAACATGACTAATCCAGAACTAGGTAATGGACAAGCACAGAGGTCCTGGAGAAGTTCACAGAAATAATGGACAGATTGAACTGGGTGTTAACTGCACACGTGCAAAAGCTGCAGAGAAAGAGAAATTACTGCTGCAGATACCACTGCTTTCATCATGGGATAGTGGAGCCAAGTGTGAGTGATTCCACTGAACTGGTTAATAGTGAATAAGATTAGAGAAAGGAGGTACACTTGGACCACAGACAGGACAACACAAAGTAGTGCAAATCTGTGACATCGGTTTGGATTACTTTGTGGTAGGAAGCCTAACTGAAGAGACTCAGACATGGGCACAAATTGTGAGGTGGTGCGAATTTATCGGTTATTCGGGTTGAACGCCTTTGGCCGTGATGATGGGATTTCATTGCATGTCAGGCAAATGGCTGATTGTTCTTCTTAAAGATAAAACTTCTGCTAATGCGTATACAATTTTACTTTGAGGGGGCATTTTTTTGTTTCCGAGATAGGAATTGTTCGTAATGTAATATTTAGTACACAAATGCAACATGACTCGGGAAGCTTGGAATAGATTATACAGATAGGAAGATATAGTTAGGAAAATCTTCACAGAAATCTGAAACAGCTACTGAAACGTTATGTTTGTGGATGCTTATCTGCTCTCAAAACCTATATTGGTAGTGAGGAGAGCTCAATGCATGACAAATATGAGATCACTAACTATAGTATAATTACCAGCCATCAACACTATTGTTTGATAATGCAAAAATGTTATGGTCATGCACCATGGGTCATGTTATTGTTGTTATTCGGAATATTATATTAGTCAGTGAGTTGGGGGCGCAGAGTCAAATGAGTTTTCCTTGTCTTGCTCAGTTCTTTCTTTAAAAGTTATTCCTTTTATTTTGAAATTGATATTTTGTCTCAGGACATCATACAGACAGTGAATCTAATTATAAACCTCCTTTCAAAAAAGGGATTTCGGTGGAAAGAAGACGGAGTTCCAGCCGACCAAGGCACCCTGATAATCGAGGGAAGACTGAGAAATCCGATGAAGTTCCATCCTGTGGTTATCATAGTGAAGGTAAGGAAAGAAATCTGTCTCGAGCCCCTGTTGCAAAAGTGCCATAAATTGTAAGTGCAGTGCAGTGAGTGCTTGCGAGTGGGGTGTTGCTCCTGTGCATGCTTCAGCCTTTGTCTTTCATGTCTGTAGGTGAAACGCTGAAAGAGAAGCAAGCCCCAAGAACTGGACCAAAACCACCTACTAGTAGATTAAAGGACTTCAGAGAAACCATGAGCAATATAATTCATAATCGACCTTCCCATAACCAAGACCCAAGTAACAGCAAATCATTGCCAGCAAAAATGACAGAGCCTGTAGATAATGACGGTCTTCGAATGTCAGGTGGACAGTCACGAGACTGGGAAACAGAAAGCACCAGCAGTGAATCCAAATCAAGCTCATCGAGCAGGTCAAAAACCTACCTGTGGAAACCCAAACGAGAGGTTCTCAATATTGACAGCATTTTCGCAAAAGAGAAAAGGAGGGTTCCACGTTACATGCAGTTAAATACAACATCCGAGGATGACGCAAAAGATTGTAACCACAATAAGACTGAAAGTTCAGTTGGAGTTGGAAGTGCTGCTTTAACACTGGACAACACAAAGAATGAAGGAAAAGGGGTAAACATAAGTAATGACAGATATGAAAAGGCTGGGTATCCTGGTAAAAGTGTGCAACAAACAGGAATCCACAGTTCGGGAGAAAATGAATGTTTCATTCAGAGAATGGAGTCTGGCTACGAGAGCAGTGAGCGCAATAGCAACAGTCCAATAAGTTTGGATACTTCAGTTACTGATGGGATTCCTGGTGGAGTACAAAACTCGAGTACCAATCCTTTCAGGTAAATCAGTATTCTGATTACTTAGCATTTTTTGACTGTTGGAGCTGGAGATCATTATTTCATTTTGCTTTACACTGTACGTTAAAACGGATATTTTCAGAAATTGCCTCTGAAGTTTGTATTAACGTTCAAAATTTTGGGGATACATAATTTTTCCATTATCAATATTTGAAAATCTTCAATCTTACCAAGTGTACAGCCAAGTATTACATACAATTAATGTGGGCTGCATATTTCTTCGTTCCAGAATAATAACACATGGGATTCTTTGACTGGCAGATCATATTGAAGAATAATTAACTTCTCATTTTCAATAGTTAATACACATATTGCCTACATGAATTAATTTTGTTTGGAAACAGGGCTTGCATCTTTTAGTTTACATGATATAAACCATTTAATTTAATATTACAAGTTAGAAGCATTGCTCCATCACAATGACTCTACATGTACAAACTGAATAAATTATACCTTCCTAATATGGATGATCATAAAAATACAGCCTTGTTTTATGCCTGCTGTTTGACCTCCATTGGAATATTATCCTTCTGTTTGCCTGCAGCCTCAATTTGTTTTCACTTCCAATATACCAGTGATAATTGCTGTTATCTGATAGTCTGTCTAAGTGGACATGTGTGCTGTACAGTGAATGTCAATTTCATTGAAATATGGCATGTTCTGCTCTACTTACAGGGAAGCAAATGCCAAGAAACCCATCAGTTCTGGTCCTTCATGGAAAACTGTTCCCAAGTCAAAGAGTAGCAATGCTTTACAGCAGGAATTGACAGCAGCCTCGAAGAGCTGGCTGAACATGCAGCAAAGTTTCAGTAAGAAAATCTTTTGTACCATAATACTGTGCATCTTTTTTCAATGGAGGTAAATTGGATTGAAAGTGTACTGTGTTTTGCTTGCCTAGGATGTCATTATAAAATGGCATCAACTTTTTCCCCTTTCGCTACTTCAAAAATTTGAAGTTTTTTGTCAGATGTTTGTGTTAAAAGGACTGTGTGTTATTTGTTTGAACATGCTTGCAATAAGATGTTAAAACATTTCCTGATAGGCTTGATCATCATTTTGTTGAAGAAATAACTGTTGCTTGGGTGTTGATTTTTTAAAATTTAAAAACGAAGCCGTGTTCCCTGACTCATGATATGGACTCATTGATTCAGCTCAGCTAATCAGTAGTTCTGAGAAAATGTGCCTATTGGGAAAATCCTTCCATTTCATCTCTTCCAATGATTAGTAATTTGTATTAGATATTACCATATCTTTACAAGAATAGTGCAATGTTCCTTTCTACTGGGCTTCAACCTGAGTTCTGTTTCAATAGCCAATGATTATGGAAAACCTACTCTACTAAGGAATTGACCTATATGGGTTTGTTAATGCCAGAGGGAATTGTATCTCTGTCACCCGACAGAAGCTGTCCTGACGTGACCTTCAAGCATTTTTGTGTCTTGGTTTATCAGGAATTGGACTGAATTGACTCAGGCTTATTTTATTTTGTATCAAGAAGGAGGAGAAGCATTCAAATTGCCACCTGAAAACTAGAGAAACAGCTCCCCATTCTGCCTTGGAACCCTACAACCCAATGGTCTCAATGTGGACTTTACAAGCTTCAAAATTTCCCCACCCCCAACCTCATCCCAAGACCAGCCCCACCTCTCGTCCCCGCCTCCTTGACCTGTCTGTCTTCCCTCCCACCTATCCACCCCTCCCTCCTGACTGACCAACCCCCATCCCAACCTCCATTTTTGCAGCAGCAGCGGGAGCGGTTAGAGCGAGGACCAGGGGGCTGCCGAGAAGGTAAGTTCTTCATTTCGGCAGCGGAGCTGAGTGGGAGCGGTCGAATTGTGCTCTGGGAAGGTGAGTGAACTGATCTATTTGGGCAGTGGCTAAACCCGAGACACTACACGTGCAGTGTCTCCCACCCACCCTCCTCCTCTAACCAAAAAAAAAAGACTCTGTGCTGTGTTGATAAGGTAAGGTTTTTCTTTTTTCTTTATCGTGTGCTGGTAAGTAGACTGATCGGTAAAAATATTTCCATTTCATTTATCTATTATTTAATATTATAGTAGGACTAAGTTAAGCTTAAGAGTAAAAATGGCAGGAGATCCCAGACCCGTGTTTTGCTCCTCTTGCTCAATGTGGGAGCTCAGGGATGTGGCTGATGTCCCTGACTCCTACACGTGCAGGAGGTGTGTGCAGCTGCAGCTTTTGTTAGATGACGTGACTGCTCTGGAGCTGCGGATGGACTTACTTTGGAGCATCCGCGATGCTGAGGAAGTCGTGGATAGCACGTTTAGCAAATTGGTCACACCGCAGATTAGGATTGCTGAGGGAGAAAGGGAATGGGTGACCAAAAGGCACAGAAAAAGCAGGAAGGCAGTGCAGGTGTCCCCTGCGGTCATCTCCCTCCAAAACAGGTATACCGTTTTGGATACTGTTGGGGGAGATGGCTCACCAGGGGAAGGCAGCAGTAGCCAGGTTCATGGCACCATGGCTGGCTCTGCTGTACAGAAGGGCGGGAAAAAGAGTGGAAGGGCTATAGTCCTAGGGGATTCAATTGTAGGGGGAGTAGACAGGTGGTTCTGTGATCAAAAACGAGACTCCCGAATGCTATGTTGCCTCCCAGGTGCAGGGGTCAGGGATGTCTCAGATCGACTGCAGGACATTCTGAAGGGGGAGGGTGACCAGCCAGCTGTCGTGGTGCATATAGGCACCAATGATATAGGTAATAAATGGGATGTGGTCCTAGAAGCAGAATTTAGGGAGTTAGGAGCCAAGTTTAAAAAGTAGGACCTCAGAGGTAGTAATCCCAGGACTGCTACCAGTGTCACGTACTCGTCAGAGTAGAAATGAAAGAATAGGCAGGATAAATGAGTGGCTTGAGAGATGGTGCAGGAGGGAGGGGTTCAGATTTTTGGGACATTGGGACCGGTTCTGGGGGAGGTGGGACTATTACAAGTCGGACGGTCTACACCTGGGCAGGACTGGAACCAATGTCCTAGGGGGTGCTTTTGTTAACGCTGTTGGGGAGGGTTTAAACTAATGTAGCAGGGGGATGGTAACCAAATGAGGAGGTTAGCGGACAGTAAGGAGGTAGTAACTAAAGCCTGTAAGAAACTAGATAATGAAGTCAGTGTGACTAAGGGGAAGAGTAGGCAGAGAGCAGATGATGAATGCAAAGGGACCGGTGGTCTGAGGCGCATTTGTTTTAATGCGACAAGTGTAGTAGGTAAGGCAGATGAACTTAGGGCTTGGATTAGTACCTGGGAGTATGATATTATTGCTATTACTGAGACTTGGTTGAGGGAAGGTCAAGATTGGCCACTAAATATCCCAGGATATAGATGCTTCAGGCGGGATAGAGAGGGAGGTAAAACGGGTGGAGGAGTTGCATTACTGGTCAAAGAGGATATCACAACTGTGCTGAAGGAGGGCACTACGGAGGACTCGAGCAGGAGGCAGAGCTCAGAAATAAGAATGGTGAGGTAACAATGTTGGGGCTGTCCTACAGGCCTCCCAACAGCAATCGTGAGATAGAGGTACAAATATGTAGACAGATTATGGAAAGATGTAGGAGCAACAGGGTGGTGGTGAAGGGAGATTTTATTTTTCCCAATATTGACTGCGATTCACTTAGTGTTAGGGGTTTAAATGGAGTAGAATTTGTAAGGAGCATCCAGGAGTGTTTTCTAGAGCAATATGTAAATAGTCCAACTCGGGAAGGGGCCATACTGGACCTGGTGTTGGGGAATGAGCCCGGCCAGGTGGTTGAAGTTTCAGTGGGGGATTACTTTGGGAATAGTGATCACAATTCCGTAAGGTTTAGAATATTCATGGACAAAGATGAGAGTGCTCCTAAAGGAAGAGTGCTAAATTGGGGGAAGGCCAACTATAGCAAAATTCGTGGGGAATGTGGATTGGGAGCACATGTTTCAGGGTAAATTCACATTTGATATGTGGGAGGCTTTTAAAGAGAGGTTGATTTAGAGTGCAGGACAGCCATGTCCCTGTGAAAATGAGGGATAGAAAGGGCAAGATTAGGGAACCATGGATGACAGGTGAAATTGTGAGACTAGCAAAGAGGAAAAAGGAAGCATACATAAGGTCTAGGTGACTGAAAACAGACGAAGCTTTGGAAGAATATCGAGAAAGTAGGACCAATCTGAAATGAGGAATTAAGAGGGCTAAAAGGGGTCATGAAATATCTTTAGCAAACAGGGTTAAGGAAAATCCCAAAGCCTTTTACTCGTACATAAGGAGCAAGAGGGTAACTAGAGAAAGGGTTGGCCCACTCAAGGACAAAGGAGGGAAGTTATGTGAGGAGTCAGAGAACATGAGTGAGATTCTTAATGAGTACTTTGCGTCGGTATTCACCGAGGAGAGGGACATGATGGATGTTGAGGTTAGGGACAGATGTTTGATTACTCTAGGTCAAGTCGGCATAAGGAGGGGGGAGATGTTGAGTATTCTGAAAGGCATTAGGGTGGACAAGTCCCCAGGTCCGGCTGGGATCTATCCCAGGTTAGTGAGGGAAGCGAGAGAGGAAATAGCTGGGGCCTTAACGGATATCTTTGCAGCATCCTTGAGCACGGGTGAGGTCCCGGAGGACTGGAGAATTGCTAATGTTGTCCCCTTGTTTAAGAAGGGTAGCAAGGATAATCCAGGTAATTATAGACCGGTGAGCCTGACATCAGTGGTGGGGAAGCTGCTGGAGAAGACACTGAGGGATAGGATCTATTTACATCTGGAAGAAAATGGGCTTATTAGTGATAGGCAGCATGGTTTTGTGCAGGGAAGGTCATGTCTTACCAACTTGATTAGAATTCTTTGAGGAAGTGACAAAATTGATAGATGAGGGAAGGGCTGTGGATGTCATATAGATGGACTTCAAGAAGGCGTTTGATAAGATTCCCCATGGCAGGCTGATGGAGAAAGTGAAGTCACATGGGGTCCAGGGTGTACTAGCTAGATGGATAGAGAACTGGCTGGGCAACAGGAGACAGAGGGTTGTAGTGGAAGGGAGTTTCTCAAAATGGAGAACTGTGACCAGTGGTGTTCCACAGGGATCCGTGTTGGGACCACTGTTGTTTGTGATATACATAATTGATCTGGAGGAAGGTCTGATTAGCAAGTTTGCAGATGACACTAAGATTGGTGGAGTAGCAGATAGTAAAGGGGACTGTCAGAGAATGCAGCAGAATATAGATAGATTGGAGAGTTGGGCGGAGAAATGGCAGATGGAGTTCAATCCAGGCAAATGCGAGGTGATGCATTTTGGAAGATCCAATTCAAGAGCGAACTATACGGTAACTGGAAAAGCCCTGGGGAAAATTGATGCGCAGAGAGATCTGGGTGTTCAGGTCCATTGTACCCTGAAGGTGGCAACGCAGGTCGATAGAGTGGTCAAGAAGGCATACAGCATGCTTTCATTCATCGGACGGGGTATTGAGTACAAGAGTTGTCAGGTCATGTTACAGTTGTACAGGACTTTGGTTCGACCACATTTGGAATACTGCGTACAGTTCTGGTCACCACATTACCAAAAGGATGTGGATGCTTTGGAGAGGGTGCAGAGGAGGTTCACCAGGGTGTTGTTTGGTATGGAGGGCGCTAGCTATGAAGAGAGGTTGAGTAGATTCGGATTATTTACGTTAGAAAGACGGAGGTTGAGGGGGGACCTGATTGAGGTCTACAAAATCATTAGAGGTATGGACAGGGTGGATAGCAAGAAGCTTTTTCCCAGAGTGGCGGACTCAATTACTAGGGGTCACGATTTCAAGGTGAGAGGAGAAAAGTTTAAGGGAGATATGCATGGAAAGTTCTTTATGCAGAGGGTGGTGGGGGCCTGGAACGCATTGCCAGCGTAGGTGGTAGAGGCGGGCACGATAGCGTCATTTAAGATGTATCTAGACAGATACATGAATGGGCAGGGAGCAGAGAGATACAGATCCTTGGAAAATAGGCGACAGGTTTAGATAGAGGATCTGAGCCGGCACAGGCTTGGAGGGCCAAAGGCCTGTTCCTGTGCTGTAATTTTCTTTGTTCTTTGTTCCTACCTACACTCACCTTTTTACTAGCTTCATCCCCACCTTCTTGACCTGTCCGTCTTCTCTCCACCTATCTGCTCCACTATCCACCTTCTCTCACCGACCCCCCCCCCCCCCCCTTTATTTCAGAGCCCCCCCCCCCCCCCCCCATTTCTGAAGAAGGGTCCAGACCTGAAACGCCAGCTTTCCTGCCCCTCTGATGCTGCCTGGCCTGCTATGTTCCTCCAGCTCCACACCTTGTTATCCCAAATTGACTTCATGTCCTGTTGCAGAGCAACAGGATGATGCTCTGTCACCACTTATCCTCTTTGCATTTATCAAATGTTCTTTTAACCAACTCTGATATTTGCAGCAGTTCATGATTTTGACCAGACTTTTCATAACAGACATACTGAAGTTGCATATACTCATGACAGCTACCAGGACATCTGTAGGGATTGAGTTCAACAATCTCCTGCTTAACATAGATGATCCAGCACATGTCATTTAACCCAATCAATCCATGCTGCCATTTGTGCTCCACTCAAGCCTCCCCTTATCTATTTTCACCTATCAATACAATCTTGCTTCCTCGTGTTTATTCCGCTTTTTCTCAAACGCATCTGTAATTGGGTCTTCTGGATTTGTGCACTTTGAATTGTTAAAATCACTTGTATGGCACAGCAGTTACACCAATTGTTTTTTAACTCTGCTCCCCCCTTCTCTCTTCTCCTCGCCACCCCATACTACATATTTCAAGAATTCCATTGTTAGTCTTATGGTCTGTCGTGCTGCTGCTTTTTTAGCCACCTCAGCTTTCACTGAGATACATCAAATGCCAGGAAATTGCTTGTACGATAATGTGGTCAGCTGGCACTACTGAAACAAACCATCCACAAATGATATGCATGTAGAATGTTACCAGAGCTAAGCACTTTAGTTCCTCAACTTCATTCAGGCCATCCTGCTAGTAGGATGTTTACAACTTAGTTTGGACCTAACTCCTGTTTTTAAACTTGAAGTTGATTGCCAGGCTAACAGGAAAGATACTCTATTTAGGATTAGTAGAATACTCGGTTGTAGTGTGGCTGCACTGTGGTGCTGTTCTAGTGGCTCCACTTGACATAGCTGCTGTTCACTGCATACATACAACGTACAAGTATTTTTCAACTTTTTGGGAAGTATATCCTGAACTTTGTCTCGTGTCAACTAGATTATAGCTCCCTAATAGTTTAGCTCGAAATCATTATTCTGGACCCCCAGATACTGAAATTTTGACTATAATAATTTTAGTTCACTTTTTAACAACATATACTTTATAAATTCTACGCAAAGCCATACCTGTTGCTGTTTCTGTTGACAAAAACAGAAGTTGCTGGAAAAGCTCAGGAGGGCTGGCAGCATCTGTGAAGAAAAAATGAGAGTTAACATTTCGGGTCCGGTGACCCTTTCTCAGAACCTGTTTCTGTTAATCCTCCTGATATGCCACAGCTGTCCCCAGAGTTAGTATTCACTGACATGACTACTTTGCTAAGTCACTCACACTGACCCAATGCTGTCCAGATTCCTAGGTGGTGCTGGTTGATGTTTAATTGGTCTTTTACTTGTTTTGCCAGCCAGGTCCTACAGCCACGGAACTGGAGTAGTGAATGATTCACTGCTAAAGACACATGCACCATCTAGTGGTGGTGAATTCCTACAGCAAGTGCCTCTACTTCATTCAGACCACACTTCATCCACTGAGCATCTTAGAGGGAGAAAGCAGCAATTGTACCTTAGTGAAAGTCACTTGTGTGGAAGTTTGATTAAGTATTTGAAAGCTTTATTCACCCAGTGATTGATCTTGGAGTCAGGAACATCGCTGGGTAGCATGTTGCAACCTGTCCTGTGGTTCATTTCATCAGAATAAAAGAGGATTTCTAACATGTAACCAATGAACAAACTCTGCAACTTGCCACAGCAGCTGCTCAAAAATATTAGCTCATAGCTGGATATGAGAAAGTTATATTTTGCATTCGGGCTGTAGTGCCTGTCATGTTTGGACTTCAGAGAGATACAGTTGCTCATGAGATGGTTTGGGGTTGCTCGATGAGATGTGCAGGAATCCAGCATCACAGACATCTGGGCTGACCTTTGAAGTGGCCTCAAAGATTACCTGAACATTTTGATGTTTCCATCAGAACTTCTCAAAGTCATTCTTTGTGCTACCATAAATGATATGATTTACCTCCAATCTGCTTTCACACTGCCCTGCATGGCTAATGAGGTGGAAATTGCAGCAGGTTTGAAGTGGTTTCATAATGGTGGCTGTAGGAAATGAGATTCTGCAAATCTGTCGACAGATAGAACATTCAAGCTAATGTCTGGTGTGATCTGTAGCAATTTTTTTGTTTAAGTGAAACCAATATTATACATTGACATGCAAGTCATACCTCAAATAAATGGAATTGATATGTATAATTTTTAATCTGTAATTTCCTCCCTATTATTAATCCTCCTTGCTATCATTAATCCTCCTCCCATTCTCACCCCCACCACTGCCAAAGATTTATTGCAGATTTTCACTGCTTTTCTTTTCAATAGAGTAAATCTGAAAAGTTATTAGGACTCTTCAGTTCTGCTTTTTAAAAAACAGTACAAAACAGGAGTGGAGTTTCAGGGTAAATGAATGATCATTTAGAATGGAGATGAGGGAAAAAAAATAGTTTCCTTTAATGTTCTTATTTGGAACAGATACCCAAACTGTTGCCAGATATCCTCAGCAACTAAAAGCATTCTGCTTTATAGCTATAATGGCTGACTTTCTGGTTTCTAGTGATTATTTACACTGTAGTCATTCCTGAAATAAAACCAATTTGGGTGTTGCTGGAACTTAGCAAGGAGCTGGAAAATTATGCAGGACAGCCACTACCTGGAGAAAATCAGCGAAGCTGCCAACCACTTTGAGCATCACCAAGTGGGGTGTGTGTGGGGACCAGAAGTGTGCAGAATCCAGGGAGGTCCTCCCAACTCAAACACCATCTGCCCTACCTGAAGGACAGCATCTGTAGCTCCAGGATTAGACTAGACAACCACCATAGAATCCAAACCCCTGGAGTGGAAGCAAGTCATCCTCAACCCTTAGGGACTGCCAGTGGAGATGATATTATTGAATGGATAGGGCAAGCTTTAAGTCTATCTTAGCCTTAAATGTATTCCATGACAGGACATGCATAACCTGTGAAGGTAAGGATTTCCAAAGATTTTACAACCTTTTGAGTATAGAATTTTACACAAAACATGAACACAATTTATTTTTCAATAACTGAACCAGTTTCCGACTTGACTAAAATTGTTTGAAACATGTTGTACTGTATTCAGGCAAAAAAAGAAAATTTTAGTGATAAATCTGCTGGGATGTGTTTACTACATGTTGAGGTTCTGTTTCATACACCATCCATGACCCTGAATCCTTATAAATTGGCCAGCGGTCTTTGGCTGATCGTTTTCCTACAGGAGCAATTCAGTAGCTGCCTCTGACAAATGATCAATATAAGTGATGAGAAAACAAGTCTGTTCTTCCCACAAATATTTCATACCAGAACCTAACACCATATCTATAGGTGGGTCACTTAAGCCAGTAACCTGTTGTGGCCTTCGGATTGGACAGAGTATTTTGCAATGATGGCAGTCTTTGCTGAGCTTCTTTAGCCATTAATTTAAACAACTAAAATCATCATTAATTTTGCTAGGGTGATGATATTAGTGTACATCAAATAGGTTAGGCCACTTAAAGTTCTCATTTTATTTTGTGTTTGCTAGCTTAAAACTGCTGAGCTGCAACATTTAATTTAAATACATTAAATCCATGTTTTCCTCCACTCACCTGTCACAATTACTGGTGTGTTCTGGTGCAGCAGCTATTTGGCCCATCATGTCTGCGCCAGCTCTGCATTATGACTTTGTGCCTTTTCCCTGTATCATTACACTTTGTTTCAATTTAAATAACATCTGATCCCACCTTGAGTGCCTTAATTGAATCTGACTCCAGCACTTTCAGGCAGTGTGACCTGACCCAGTGTCAGAGAAATTATTTTGTTCATATTATATTTGCTTCTTTTGCAGATCACTTTGCATCTACATCTTAGTCTTGATGCTTTTGAGTGGAGAAAAATAATGTATACATAAACAAATTTGTATTGTTTTATTAGTCATTCGTTAAATCTGCTTCACATAGGTGAAAACTACAGTCATCCTGTGCGAAGTGAATTGGATGAGTTGGAAGAGGAGATTAAAAGGAAAACTAAAGAAGAGGAACTAAGAAGAAAGAAACTGAGGGAAAGGGAAGCAACTATGGTATTCAATCCCCGACCAAGCAAATTCATGGATTTAGATGAGCTACAAAATCAAGGTGAGTGTTTGGCAAGGCGTTGGGGTGGCGGTGTGTAGTGGAAAGAGGAAGTGTCAGTCTGGCAGGCACAAGATAAGGTCTTGGGTCTGTATTGGCCGGGGGTAGGTGTGTTTGTTGAGATTTTGTCAGAGGTCTTGGTTATAAATGAAGCAATCAGTTGTGAGTTGGAGATCAGATTCATGGTTACCAGAAATTAGAGTCACTTTTTAATCCTCCTAGCATGAGCAGCTATTAAGCATAAGTGAGCACTCCAAATTATCCAACTTTATTGGGCAATTTAAGAGGATTCCAAGAGTATGGAAATTACTCATCAAAAAATTCAATTGCCCAAACAATTTATACAATGTCAACTGTGTGGCGATTCAGCATGGTCCTGACACGTAACTCCAGTCTACGCTGCTCCATAACTCTAGCCAATGTATTTTACTGTCTTAAGTGAACTAACCCACGGAGTTAATTAATCCTTTTTGTGATTGATTATTAAACCATTATCATCAACATAATTGTATCAATCCTGTACTGTCTGTGTACCCCCACTTATTGAAAGGATCTATGAAATAGGGAAGGACTTTCTCTTGGGTTTTATTCACTAAACCTTGAAGAGAAGACAGTTTTGTGATGTTAGTGAGCAGGACTCCAATATCTGAAAACATAACATGCTAGCTTTTAAAATTTTCTCAAATATGAAAGGCTCAGTAAGTTCCTAAGTTGCTATAAAATAGCAATGTTAAGTTGGGTAAGTGTGAACCTGAAATATATGAAGAAAATATGAAATATTTTATAAAAAATATGAAAATATACATATAAAAATATAAGAACTACTTTACATAGCAGTGTCATATTGGTGCTTCCTAGGGGGTACATAGACAATCATTTGAAATTCGCTTTGTTATTTAAGTCCCTCTATTTTCACATTTAAATGATCATAGGTGCACGTGAAAATACAAATAAGCAGCATTGGATTACATTACAGTTAGAATACAGGCCTATCTAATCTTGCTATATGTCTACTATTATACTGTCACAACTTGAGTCATATGAATAGCTGGATAAAGGAAAAGCACAAGAATAAATTGAGCTTCAGACTTAAAATCACATTTTTCTGCCTCACATTTTGCACTATTACCAGAGCTCTTCTTTCTTAATTCTTTGTTTTGCAGCCTTACAATATATGTTCCTTCCTTCTCACTGCTATGAGAATAATTTCATTTTAATAGTGCTGATGCTGATTTGATTTTCTGATAACACTGTTGTAATGTCCTTGTCTACTAACACATCAAAAGATGTGTTTATGTTCCAAGACTACAGCTGCTGCATTCTTTTGCTGATCAAGCTAGCACAAATAAGTTTGCAGACCTTCCAAGATTATTGTTCCAAGGAACCTGCTGGATCGTTGAGTGTACTACTTTACACTAAGCAAGTAGGGGAGGCAGCGGCATAATGGTAATGTAATTTGACTCGTAATCCAGAGTCCCTGAAAATGTTCTGGGGGCATTGTCAGTAAAAACCACATCCATTTGGAAGGAAATCTGCTGTCCTTACCTAGTCTGGCCTACGTGTGACTCCAAACCTATATTCCTTATCAGCTGCGTGGCCGCACAGTCGCTCTGACAGTTTGTGCACACCAATGCATGTGCTGAAGCATTGACTTCTGGGTTTTTTTTCCTATTCATTTGTGGGATGTGGGCGTCGCTGGCTGGCCAGCATTTCTTGCCCATCTCTAGTTGCCTGAGAAGGTGGTGGTGAGCTGCCTTCTTGAACCGCTGCAGTCCATCTGCTGTAGGTTGACCCATAATGCCCTTAGAGAGGGAATTCCAGGATTTTGACTCAGCGACATTGAAGGAACGGCGATATATTTCCAAGTCAGGATAGTGAGTGGCTTGGAGGGGAACTTGGAGGTGGTGGTGTTCCCACATATCTGATGCCCTTGTCCTTCTAGATGGAAGTGTTCGTGGGTTTGGAAGGTGCTGTTTGTGGATCTTTGGTGAATTTCTGCAGTGCATCTTGTAGATGGTACACACTGCTGCTACTGAGTGTCGATGATGGAGAGAGTGGATGCCTGTGGATGTAGTGCCAATCAAGCGGCTGCTTTGTCCAGGATGGGGTCAAGCTTTTTGAGTGTTGTTGGGGCTGCACTCATCCAGGCAAGTGGGGAGTATTCCATCACAGTCCTGACTTGTGCCTTGCAGATGGTGGACAGGCTTTGAGGAGTCAGGAGGTGAGTTACTTGCCGCAGTATTCCTAGCCTCAGGCTTGCTGTTGTCGCCAATGTGTTTATGTGGTGAGTCCAGTTGAGTTTTTGGTCAACGATAACCCCCAGGATGTTGATAGTGGAGGATTCCGTGATGGTAACACCATTGAATGTCAAGGGGCGGTGGATAGATTGTCTGTTATTGGTGATGGACATAGCCTGGCATTTGTGTGGTATGAATGTCACTTGCCACTTGTCAGCCCAAGCCTGAATATTGTCCAGATCTTGTTGCATTTGAACACTGACTGCCTCAGTATCTGAGGAGTCACGAATGGTGCTGAACATTTTGCAATCATTGGTGAACATCCCCACTTCTGACCTTATGATGGAGGGAAGGTCATTGATGAAGCAGCTGAAGATGGTTGGGGCGAGGACACTACCCTGAGGAACTCCTGCAGAGATATCCTGAAGTTGAGACGATTGACCTCCAACAACCACAACCATCTTCCTATGTGTCACCTATGACTCCAACCACCAGAGAGTTTGTCCCCTGATATGTGTTGATTCTAGTTTCGCTAGGGCTGCTTGATGCCACACTCGGTGGAATGCAGCCTTGATGTCAAGGGCTGTCACTCTCCCTCACCTCCCCTCTGGAATTCAGCTCTTTTGCCTGTTTGAACCAAGGCTGTAATGAGGTCAGGAGCTGAGTGGCTCTGGCGGAACCCAAACTGGGTGTGACTGAGCAGGTTATTACTTCCGGTTTCAGAAATCTCTTGAGTTGTGGACCTTGGAAGTCTGTACAGAAGAAAACAAATCGTCTGTGGTAGTACCTTCAGGAAGTATTTTAGAATGAAATAGGCTTGGAATTGCCTAATGGTGTATTTGCTGCTAATCTGCAGTTGTTTGAAGTTGCATATTCCTATAAACCACACAGGACTATTCGTTTAAAGTGAGATGACATGAGATTGAGTTCACCAAGTTGTTGCTGTTGTTTCAGATTGAGTTCAGTTGCTTTTTGGTGAGAGATGTTTTCTGCTCCAGGTGAAAACAGCAATCTGAAATTACTATCTTTTTCAAACAACAAAATAATTGACAATTAAGATTGAGAAAAATCCAAGATTGCATGCCTTTATTAATGATAAAATATAAATAAAATTGTTGATTTGAAAAAGCAAGTTGCGTAACAAATTTCTGCAACTGCAAAATGTTCATAATACTTAGTAAACGTTCTTTAAACCAGTGCATGTTAAAAAATAAACTTGCTGTTGCTTCTGCAGGGAAGACAGACAAGTTTGAGAGGTCATTGCAGGAGGTAGACTCTCTATTAGAACAGTCTTTCCGTCTTGAACAAAAGGATGACTTGGCTGCAGCGCTCAGTCTCTGCAATGAAGCTGTGTGTAAGTAAGCCTAACTGCCTCTGCTGCTCGCAGGCTAAATGCTCTGCTAACTAGTTATGATATTTACCCACTAAAAGCTTTTAATTTAGCTAGAAACTGAAGCAAAACCTGCCAGTTACTGACGACTACTTTCTATGCATGTCATGTTCCTATTTGGAAATTAGTTCCTTAAACATCAAAATTGGCTTGAAATTATTTCACAATTTTTAGTGTGGAATTTATTTTTAGTAATGTAATGCATATCAATTTCTAAATTTTAAATAATCTTTGAACCAAAGGTTTTTCTCATTAATCAAGTTCAAAATGTGGTTATATTTTAAAATGCTCCTTTCTTGGACACCTTTTCAAAATGGTGCTTTCTTTTTAATTCCATATTTGGTTTTAGCCAAATATGTACAAAAACTAAAGTTTTCTTAAATACTACTTACAGTAATTAATCTAACTGGCAATTTAACACTGATTCTGCCGGATTTTGCTTGAGAATACAGATTCTCAGTGCAATAAACTGGATAAATATGCTTCTCGCTCACTTTTTTTCTTTTTATGCTTTTGAGGGCCAGAGTAGTGATTATACCACTCATTCACTTTTCTTTGACATTCGCTTAGCTGTGTGGCTATGCATATTCTTTGCCAGATATGTGATTTAATAAGCACTTGATGTGACATTTGCCTTTGTGTGTAAAACACCCTTTTTGTAATTAAAGCTGAATCACATTGCTGTTACAAATCACTGCTTAACATTTCATCGGAACATTTTGTGAGTTTCTCATACTTCTGTTTTACAATTGCATGTTGTTTGGGTCTGCCTGTGCATTTTTTTTTCTGCTGTTTTGCATTTTAGCTAAACTAAGACTTGCTATGCATGAAGGCAGTGCCATCACACACACCAAAGCCCTTGCTGATAAGAAGCTCCATGTTTGCATGAAGAAGGTTCGAAGTCTGCAGGAGCGCATGCAACAATCCATCCACTCCCCTCCACTGGGGATCCCCGTGACTGAATGCAAAAGGTAGTAATTTAGGTTCAAGAAGAACAAAATGTTAGATGGAAACTATTTGAGCACTGAGACTGCAAATAATGCCTTGAAAATAGGATTTATTTATTATAGAAAATAAATTTTGGACAAAATATTCAGTAACTGTCCAAAGTGTGTATTTATTTTGATGCCTTTTTTTGAAAGGACTGTCCTAAACTTGTTTGAAATACTGTGTCACTTGTACAGAAATAGATTACTTTTGGTATTAAAATTGCAATGGAACAAGTATTGGTATTAGTCATGCTTCAATAAATTTGGGTGACTTGTAGGAAGTATTCTGTGATATTGGTAAATGCTTTAAAGATGAACTTAATTTCTTGTCTCGTGACGACAACTTTTGTAGGAGATGTTTAGAATATGTATCGTGATTCTACTGCAGAAAGATTTTACAGAATCTTATCTTTTTCATGAATTCTAACCATAAGTTTGATTCTTAACATTTCCACTTTGCCCAGCAACAATTCCTTAAGGTTGGACAATAAGTGAATTCAAAATTATACTGTGAGTATATTATAGTGTAATTATACTGGAGTAACTAACTAAATGCTGATGTGAGATTTTAAATATTGTGTTTATTTACAGCTTGCATCTATTGATAGGAACATACAGTATGTGTTTAGCACTGGTATTGAATTATTTCCACTATTCAACTTTAAAAATAACACAATCTTTTTATTTCAGTGTGCAGGCTAGCCAGGTCCAAGTACTGCTAATATCAGAGAGAGCAATGGAACCCATCGGTGAACCAGATAACAGGCCCAAATCTTCCCTAGTCCTGTCAGCCTCCCATCATCAACTTACTCAACATGCATCCAGGTTACATGATTCTCAATCGGATTTGCATGGCAAAGTTTCCACTTCATTGGCTTCTGAACTGAAGCAAAACTTGTCTGCCAGATGTACCACCGAGCTTCCATCTCCAAACAACTGCAGTTGGGTTCCAGCTTTTCTCCCTGGGGAGAAGGTGAAAGAGACCTCTGCAATACCCAAACATCAGCTGAAGAATATTGATGAACCAGTAAAAGGGAAGGAGAAATTGGACTGCTCAGTATTCAACCATAAACCAACAATAAACAAACATGGTTCCTTGCCATTGCTTACAGCTGAATATAGAGACATGAATTACACATTTCCATCGCCATCACTCCACATGCAAGTGTTAACTCAAAAAGATGAAATAGGTGTCTATTCAAACAGCAGTACTTATTCTTCTCAATACTGTAATTCAAGTCAACTTAATGCAACAGATACCAAAATTTCTCCATGTACAGCTTCGTTATCCACAAGCTTGAACTGGTCCCCTGCCGAATCTCCTCCTTATCAGTCAAATAGAAGTGATTTAGGATTGGATTTGAATTCAACGGAGTTTGACAGTGCCTGTTCATCCAAGACCAAAACAGCAGTTGACAGAGTTAATGTAAAGTCAATGTCACAACAGTTACAAAGGCTAAATGTTAAGTTGGGTCAGAGAAGTGAAGAAGGTAATTACAGCAGTACATGTTCAGATCTTCCACCAAAGAAATTTGATCAAGAAATATCCCAGCCACCTCTGACTTTGGATCAAAAGGTGAGAGCTCTTCAAGGTAATGATCAGTTGGGCAGTGCACAATGGTCTTCTGAAGGCTTGTATTCTCCCCAGGTTTCTCACAGACCTTTGGACTATAAAGCTGAGGTATCTGTTACTCCATCTATATCTACTTACCTAGCAAACACCAAAGCTGCTGCAAGAGAAGTATACCGTTACTCCAGAGACTCAGGTTTTCCACCTGATGCTCAGACAGATGAGACATGTGGACAGAGATACCAAAGTGCTGTCCAATCATTTTTTAGGGAAACTAGTCCCAAGGACAGGTCTGTACCAGTGAGGCAGCAAAATGAGCTTTCTACCAGTACAACTTCTGTGCCTGTAGATAGAAGGTTCGGTGGTGATAGAGAACATTATATTCCACAGTCAGATTACAAAAACAATGAACAGCGTCACCTGCATGGTAATCTGCGCAGCCAAGAAAATAACACACGAGCTCATGGAAAGCAAGAAATACAACCATTTAAGGATACAAATCAGAATATGGAACTGGAGTTTTCAGAGCTGGAATCGCTCTATCAAGCAAGTCTGCAGGCTTCTGAGAATACCAGATATTCACCAGGGAGACCGTTGGCTGAGAACACTTCCAGACAAAGCAACACTAAACCAGGTGAGGCAGCTCAACACAATTAGCAAGCAACCACAGTTCCAATCTTCTGGCCATTATTATCAAGATTCAAGTTTGTCTTACATTGTGTTTGATAATTAATTGTCAGTTTCTCAATTAAGTGTTTTGTTTAAGCCACATGATTCAGTTGGACTAACAGGGTTTGCTGGGATGTGCTTATAAGTGTAGGGAAAGTCAATGACCATGATAGGCTGAAGTTTAATCATCCAACACTCTTGGGTTACTCATCATATCTAGTCATAACATGGAATCCTTGTGCTGCCTGGCTCTTTAGTTTCAAATCCTTTGTGTAATCAGAACAGATTAAGCTGCAAAAGAAGGATTCTTTATTTATCAATCTCTAGGTACAGTTGATCACCAAGCTTTCCCGCTCACCTCACCACCACCACCACCCCCTGACCTTATATCATTGTTACGAAAGCAAGGCACTGCGAATGCTGAAATCTGAAACAAGAACAAGAAATGCTAGAGAAACTGAACATTTCTCGCAGTATCTGTGGAGAGAGAAACAATTAACATTTTTAGTTCAGGATGACTCTTCTTTGCATCTAAAGAATGCTGGAAAATTGATAGGTTTTTGAAATGTGGAAAAAGGAGGGAGGAGGAGTAAATGAAACTGCTGATAAAGGTGCCCTAAAGCAAAAAGTAAAGGGAGTGCTTATCATAGTAGAGAAATGATATTGATGAAGAGTGGGTGTTAATATCAGAAAAGAGAGGAAACCCATTCAAACAAACGCTGAGTATTCGTGTGACCACATCTGGAGTACTGTGTACAGCACTGGTCATCATACTTATGGAAGGATGTGTGTCGGAAGCAGTTCTGGGAAGACTCAGTGGACTAATACTTGCAATAAATGAATTGCCTTATGAGGAAAGGCTAGATGGGTTAGGCCTGTATCCTCTAAGTTTACAAGGCTTAAGGTGAATTAATTGGAAACGTACAAGTCTTGAGGGAACTTAACTAGGTGGATATTGAATGGATTTTTAAAAAAAATTATTTAATCTATTTTTAATGATCAACCTGCTCAGAAATGTTATTACACACCTCTGGAGCAGCTGGGACTTGAACTCAGGCTTCTCAGTCCAGGGATAGGGACATGACCCTACTGCACCATAATGGGGAGGATGTTTCTCCTTGTGGGAAAGTCTACAACTAGGTGTCTTTTAACAATAAGGCCTTGCTCATTAAAGACAGAGATGAGGAAACAGTTTTTCTGAGGGTTTAGAATTTGGAATTTCCTTTCTCAAATGGTAGCAGATGAAGAATCTTGAAATATTTTTAAGGCAGAGGTAGATAGATTACCAAAGGAAAGAAGGATTATTGGGAATATGTAGAAATATAAAGTTGAAATTAAAATTGATTATCCACAATCTTATTGAATGGCAGGGCAGGCTCAAAGGGCTGAGTGGCCTGTTCTTGTTCCTTGTTGATTTGTTCGTACAGCAATTAATTTGATGATTCAAAAGATTGTTACACCAGATATACCTGAACCCAGGTAGACACACAACTGACTGCCAAAAAGGAGTCTGTGTGGCAAAGGTGCAACGTTGGTTGATTTGAAGGCTCTGGACTGTACAGAAAAACAAGACCAGAACACCATTGTGATCAGAGATAGCTAGGTCCAATTAGAATATATTCAGCAGGGATTTCAAAAATCCATTTTATTAACTAACAGGTAAAGTCATCATAGTGTTATAGGGCTGCTCTCTCTGATTAGAGAGAGACGACTGGTGGTGGTTTAACCTGAGGGGCCTCGGGTTGAGAAAGAGAGTCCTTCGTGGTAACCTCAGCTGGTTCAGAAGTTGAACCCAGGCTGACTGCATATCTAGCCATATGTAGAATTAAGTGTCATGTTTTGAAGATTGTGCTGATTTAAAGACACCTATCCTAATTGATAACTGGCTACTCGTACAATTTTTAGAAAATGAAGGATGTGTTAATGTAGCTCTGATTTTTGTGTCTCCTCTAGTTTCCGCACATACACTTACAAGAAAACACTTCTCTCTGCCTGGAAGAGGTCAGTCAAAAACTCCAACCGCAGAGATTGAGCGCAGTGCTTATGCAGCAGTATCTTGTGGAGCACCTGTACCAGTTAGTACAAAGGTATTTCTAAGTGAATAGAAATTCCTTACTAGCTTAATTCCTAATAAATTGTGTGACTACTTATTGTGTGTATTTGCATTGAATTGTTAGCTTCTATCGGGCAATCGATACGTGTGGTATTAGATTTTGAAACTTCATTGTGGTGGACTGAGGGAAATAGGTGCTTCTTAAAAGCGAATTTGAAGCAAAAAGCAACTCTTGTGGAATCCTTTTTAATTCAGAGTACTCGACTACTTCCGATTTCAAAATATGCCATGGTTTTTAAATAAAGGTCTGCATCTCCTTCAGGGAAAATCCGGTTGGCAGTTCATCAGTTAGGCAATGAAAGCAGCACTTTAATGGGCAGGAACAAAAACAGAAGTTGCTGGAAAAGCTCAGCAGGTCTGGCAGTATCTGTGAAGGAAAAAAAAATCAGAGTTAATGTCTCGCAATGGACTGAGGAAGGGTCACTGGACCTGAAACATTAACTCTGATTATTTTCTTCTCACATGTTGCCAAACCTCCTGAGCTTTTCCAATAACTTCTGTTTTTGTTCCTGATTTACAGCGTCCGCTGTTCTTTTGGTTTTTACTTTAATGGGCGGTATAAGTTGTCTTTTGAGGATTCTACAGAAATTAAGCACTGTATTACAATGGAGAATCCATCTAAAGGCAGTTGATGACCCACTCATTAATTTTCTTTTATTTCATTGATGGGATGTGGGTATTGCCCATCCCTAATTACCCAGAACTATTGATGATAGGTGACTTGAGGTTACTATTTTGCTGTGTTGTATGTATTTGCATACAAAGTTGATACGCAGCTATTGCATAAAGCAGTCAAATTAATTGATGGGTGATCCAGATTCAATACAGAACTTTTCCAAGGCTTAACCTTTTGCACTGTACTCCAAGTATCCACTATTTAGATGTTCCATTTCACTGTGAGCCCTACTATGGCTAGCGAAGTTACTGTTACATCTATTTATGACTAATACAAATGACTACAATTTCTAGCAAGATTCCCTCATCACCTTTTTGCTGTGTTTATTATAAACTCCTATATTTGTAAGGACATTTTTTGTTTTTGCATCCACTGCTGGTCACGGATGTTTAATTGATCTCAATTTACCTTTATTCTCTAACTTTACAAGATGCACTTCAGTGAATTTGCTGCAAGAGATATTGAGGAAAATGATGATTACAGTGCAGAGAATTTCCGTCGGATTGCTCGCAGCCTGAGTGGAACTATTCTTGCTAACAGAGATAATCCTGTGGTTCCTTCTCAGAGTGTTGTAAGTTTAATTTTACTTATTCATTCGTGGTATGTGGACATTGCTGGCAGGCCAGCATTTATTGATCGTTCCTAATTGCCCTAGGTAAAGTGGTGGTGAGTTACCTCCTTGCACCCTTTCTGTCAATCTGGTCTAAGTGCTCTTACACGGTACTATTAGAGACATCCAAGATTTTGACCCAGTGACAGTGACAATGACAATGTAATTTCAAGTTGGTATTATGTATGGCTTGGAAATGAACTTGCACCTGGTGATTTTCCCACACATGTCCTGTTCTTGCCCTTTTGGATGTTGGAGGTCACTAGTTTGGCAGGTGTTATTGAAAGAGAATTACCGGAGCTGGACCTGTTCAGGCTAGTGGACACTATTCCACCACAATCCTCTCTTGTGCCTTATGGATTGTGGACAAACTCTAGGGACTCGAAGTGATTAATTTCCAGCAGAATTCCTAATCTCTGAACAGTATTTGTGGCTGGAGCAGTTCAGTTTCTGGCCCTTGTGTGGCACAAATGCGCTGTGTAATGTGCAGTCATCAGTAAGTATTCATCAGTTCTGATCGTATGATGGAAAGAAGATTATTAATGAGGCAATTGAAGGTAGTTAGGTCCAGGACACCACACTGAGAAACTTTCCAGTGGACTAAGATAATTGACCTCCAGCAACCATAACCATCTTCCTTTGTGCTATGTATGACCCCAACCAGCGGAGAATTTTCCTCTAATACCTATTGGCTTCAGTTTTGCCAGATCCCCTCGATCTGCTATTGCTGTAATGTTTCCAGGGCCTTTAGGGTCTGCATATCCAGTTATTTTGTTGAATACATATAGAAGGATTTGAATTGGCTGGTGACTGGCGTCTGTGATTCTGGGAACTTAAGAGGAAGCTGAGTTGGATCATCCACTTAGCACGTGATAGAAGATGACTGCAAATGCATCAACCACACTTATTAGTCTGATGTGCTGGGCTTCCCCATCATTGAATTGTCCTCTGCCCTTCATGACTGAATGTGACAGAACTGCAGATCTTAGGTCTGATCCACTGGTTGTGGGATTGATTGGCTGTGTATGTGGCATGCTGCTTCTGCTGTTCGGCATGTAAGTTTTTACTTTCGCCAGATTGATACCTTAGTTTTAGATATTTCTGGTATATCCTTGCCCTTCTACACTCCTAATTGAACTAGGGTTGATCCTCTGGATTCCTGATAAATATTGGTGGGGGGCATGCCAAAGCACAAGGTTACAAATTGAGTTTGAATTCGGTGCTGCTGATGATGATGATTATGATGGACTGCAGCACCTCATGTTTACCCAGTTTTGAATTGTTTGAACTGTTTGAAATCTGTCTCATTTAACACAGCACTTATGTGACCCAATTCAATGGAAGGTATACCGTTACAAACTAGGGATTTTGTCTCCCTAAGGGTGAAATGGGCGCTTCTACCAATAATTTTATGGACAGATGCATCTGTGACAGAGAGATTGGTGAGGATGAGTTCACATAGGTTTTTCTCTGTTAGTTTCCTCACAACCTGCTGCAAACCCAGTCTAGCAGCAATTGAGGTATCGGCCATGTTGGTCAGTGGTGATGCTACCAAGTCACTCCTGATAATGACCATTGAAATTCCCTACCCAGAGTACATACAGTGCCCTTGCCAGCCTCGGCCAAAGTAACCAGCATTGCCCATGTTTGCGCCTGATACCGTGAGTCTTCATTGGGTTAATGTCGAGGACTTGCAATGCACCTTCCTGCTGACTGTATATTATTCTGCCACTCTTTTGGGTCTGTCCTGCCAGTGGTACAAAACGTACTTGGGAATGGTGATCGCACCTATATTGCAGTAACAATAGCCTAGGCTTCTAGTCAACCAGTCCAGTGACAGAGTTCTGAGGAAGGGTCACCGGACCCAAAACATTAACTCTAACTCTGTTTCTTTCCTCCACAATTGCTGCCAGACCTGCTGAGCTTTTTCAGCAACTTTGTTTTAGTCCAGTGACACTACGACTGTGTCACCACATCCTGCTGAAATAAACTTCCCCGAGTAATTTTCAACCTATATTTGCAAGCAAATGTTTTGTGCATAAATGTTAGCATCTTGATCAATCCTTAGGAAATCTTGTGGGAGAGGCTTTCGGGAATAAATTTAAGGCAATTCTTTTTCTTTCTATCATCACTGTAAGTTTCCACATAACAGTCATATCCATTTATCTTAAAAGGAAACAACAACCCTGAGAAGATGCATGGAGCCTCAAAAAAGATCGGTCAGTTCTTCTTCCTTGACCACATCCCAAGCTTCCTCCCATGATCCTCATGTGTTAACCTCTTTCCTTCAACACCATTCCAACCTATCACAGCACCTTTCGTCTGATCCATTGTGGCCAAGCAAGGCTGGTGGGGCAAATAGAGCATCAGGTAATCTTGGCATCTCCACTTGTACCTCCTTTTTGTGTGCACCGATCCCTAGTGTGTAAGACTGCAGGGTTGTCTGTCCTTGTCCATCTGTTTCCTTTCCAGGTCATATTGTTGTTTGAAATGCTTTTCAAATATGGAATTGTCGACTTATAAATGAAGCTACTGGCAGAGATACTTCACATGACAAGACCATGTCTTGGTATTTCCTGGCATTAACTGCAAGAAGCTACCATTGGTTCCATCAACCACACAGGCTTTCACACAAAGGCTTTCTTTTATTATTAAATTCAGCAAATGGTCATAATTTGAACAGCATTGATTGACTATAATTTCTGCTAATTATACCGTAGTGAAATTAGTGGAGACCTGTAAAATTTTTTTGTGAAATTGGTATGTTTATTGCATCAGTACTACTTTAAATTTCCATAACTGTTCCATCCCATTTGATCTTTTCATCCTTCATCTCACTATGCTATTCTTATCCCCAGTTCCATACCTCATGTGCATTACCACCCGTGGCAACCACCTTACCCCCAACCCATTGCTTGCCCCCATCAACACTTGTATTGTTGGGGCCCACCCCTAATCTTCAGTCCTGAGGAAGGGTCACTCGACCTGAAATGTTGACTGTGATTTCTCTCTTCAGATGTTGCCAGAGCTGCTGAGCTTTTGCAGCAACTTCTGTTTTTGTTTCTGACTTACAACATCTGCAGTTCATTCAGTCCTTCTCTTCCACTAATCTTGTTCTCTATTAACACAGCCTGCCTCACTGCTACCTCACTACTCTTGGCAACAGCACGTATCTCGTGTACTCATTTCTCACATCAGAACAGCTAGATCTCGAAACAACCAGTACTAAGTAAGCTAACAAAAGTATGGTGGTGGTGATAGCAAAGAAAATGTAGACAGGCACAGCGTTGAGTCCCACTCATCACTTTTTTTCTCACCCTCCATTAGGTGAGGTTGAAATGTCTTCAAGTTGGCAGTGAATGAAGAGGAGAGAAATTAGGGCAGAGAGGGAGAAAAATCAGTTGGGAGTGGTGGCTGCATACAGTCCCCATGTTACCTTAGTGTTGTGGTAAAATATTCTAATATTTAATCACTGTCTTTGTATTTACAAAAGCTCTTGGGATCGATGTCTGACTAATCAAAACAGTCTGGACGGCAAGAATTATTTATTGTTATTATCACAGACATAAAATTATTGAATGAGAACAAAACAGGTTGTCAATGAGTTAAACCTGATGTATTGTAAATGAATGCAATATTACAAAATAAAGGAATTCATCGGGTTTATTTGTGCATATTTCCAAGATCATTGAAGTACAAGCAGCATGGTGACACTACGGTTATCACTGCTGCCTCAACACCAGGGTCCTGGGTTTGATTCTGGGCAACTGTCTGTGTGGAGTTTGCATATTCTCCATGTGCCTGCTTGGGTTTCCTCCAGATACTCCGGTTTCCTACCACGGTACAAAGATGTGTGGGTTAGGTGAATTGGCCATGCTAAATTGCCCATTGTGTCCAGGGATGTGCAAGCTTAAGTGGGTTAGTCATGGGAAATCTAGATCGATAGGAATATGATAGGGGGATGGGTATGGGTGGGATGCATTTTGGAGGGTTGGTGTGGACTAGATTGGCTGAATGGCTTGCACTGTCAATGTAGGGATTCTATGATGCTACAACAGTACAGAACTTTGATCAGCTACAACTGCAAAACAGTGCACAGTTTTGCTCTTCATTTTAAAGGAAGGATGTGCTTACAATGGAGGCAGCATAGCAAAGTCAGGGACACTGGAATCATTCATGGGATGAGGCAGCTGTCCATAAAGGCTGAGTGAATTAAGTCTGTGTTTCTTGAAGTTTAGAAGACCGTGATCTCACTGGAACATAAAAGATTTTGAGTCTTGATAGGGTAAAGTGAGGTCGTTTCTGCTGCTTGGGAATCTAGAACATGGGGACACAGTCCCTGGATAAGCAACTGATCATTTAGGACTGTGAAGAGAGGAAAATTCTTTGGTCAGAGTTGTGAAAATGTGGGGAGCTCTGTACCCCAGAGAACTGTGGGAACCCCCAAGATTGAACAAGGCTGGGATAAGCAGATTTTGGTCCCCTGGGGATTGAGATATGGGCAGCAGGTGGCCAAGTGGAATTGAAATCCTAGGTAAGCAACAGATTATATTGAATTACAGAGCAGGCTTGAAGAGCTGCATCTACTCCTGCTTGTATTTCTTGACTATTCTGAAATTACTATATTGGGTTTTATAAAACAGATTTAGGGATGTTAATCATAGATTCACTAAGGTAGCATGAGAGATAAGAAGCTTAAAACATAAGTTGAGATGAAAAAACTGATGATTTCTTCACAACAGAGAAAACAAGAAATCTGGAAGTTATTCAAAGTTATGTGAATGAATAAAGAAATGAATTGAAGTATATGTTAATAGATGTTGTAGATGTCTATATGGACTTTAGTAAAGCCTTTGACAAAGTTCCACATGATAGACTGATAAGTAAAGTTAGTTCACATGGGATTCAGGGAGAGCGTGCCGTTGGGATACAAAATTGGCTTGATGGTTGGAGACATAGGGTGGTGTTGAAGGTTGTCTATCGGTCTAGAGGCCTGTGTTCAGCAGGGATTGGTGCTGGATCTGCTGTTGTTTGTCATTTATATAAATAATTTGGATGAGAATTTAGGAGGCATGGCTAATAGGTTTTCAAATGATACCGCAATTGGTGGTTTGGCCTACACTGATTATCAAGGGATCTTGATCAATTGGGCCGATCGACTGAGGAGTAGCAGATGGAGTTTAATTTGGATAAATGCGAGGTATTGCATTTTGGTGAAACGAACAAAGGCAGGACTTGTACAGTCAATGGTATTGTTCTGGATCGTATTGTCGAATTGAGAAATCCAGGCGTTCAGATACATAGTTCTTTGAAAGATGCGTTGCAGGTAGACAGGGTGGTTAAGGCATTTAGCAAGCATGCCTTCATTGCTCAGACCATTGAATATAGGAGTTGGGACGTCATGTGGTTGTACAGCACACTGAGGCCACTTTGGAGTACTGTGTACAGTTCTAGTCGCCCTGCTTTAGGAAAGGTATTATTAGATTGGAGAGGCTTCAGAAAAGATTTGCCAGGATGTTGATGGGAATGGAAGGTTTGAGTTAAAAGGAGAGGCTGGATAGACTGGGACTTTTTTCACTGGAGTGTAGGAGTTGAGGGGTGACCTTAGAGGTTCATAAAATCATGAGGGGCATAGATAAGGTCTTTTCCCTAGGGAGGGGTGTTCAAAACTAGGGGGTGTGTTTTTAAGATGAGAGGAGAAAAATTTAAAAGGGACCTCAGGAACTTTTTGACATGGGTGGTTTGTTTGTGCCAGAAAAAGTGGTAGATGCAGGTACATTTACAACATTTAAAAGTCTTTTGGACAGGTACATGAATAGGAAAGGTTTAGAGGGATATGGGCCAAATGCAGGCAAATGGGACTAGTTTATCATCTTGAATAGCATCATGGAATCCCTACAGTGTGGAAACAGGCCCTTCGGCCCAACAAGTCCACACCGATCCTTGGAGCATCCCACCCAGACCCATCCCCCTATAACTCTCCTAATCTACACATCCCTGAACACTACGGGCAATTTAGTATGGCCAATCCACCTAGCCTGCACATCTTTGGACTGTGGGAGGAAACCAGAGCACCTGGAGGAAACCCAAGCAGACACAGGGAGAATGTGCAAACTCCACACAGACAGTCGCCTGAGGGTGGAATCCAACTTGGGTCCCTGGCGCTGTGAGGCAGCAGTGCTAACCACTGAGCCACAGTGCTGCTAAACTAAACTAGTTTAGTTTTGGAAACTTGGTCAGCATGGACAAGTTGGACTGAAGGGTCTCTTTCTGTGCTGTATGGCTCTATTTACAATATACTGTGAACTAGTAAGTAGAAATTATGACTTCGTATCTTAATCTTTTAAAAAGATCTGGGGTTGGGAGATGTTTTTAAAATGCAAATTTGTCAGAACATCAAGTGCAGTGCTTGGAACAGTAGTTGAAATAGGATTAATTGTCATTTGTCAAATTGGATGTGAATACGTGTGTGAAAGGGTACAAAGGAAGAGCAAGAAACTGTGATTAAATGGACAGCCCTTTCAAAGAGAGTGTTGGCTTAATCGACCAAAAAGTCTCTTTACATGGTCAAGATCAGTGATAAATGTTGCTGATCTATAAAACTGTTAATATAATTTTAAAAGGCAACTTGGAAAAGTGAAGGACTTGAGCAATGCCTTGTTCTCATTTGGACTAATAGGCAAATTTGGTCAAAGTAGGTGAAGTGTTATTCTCTAATACAGTGGTGCATACCACGCCGTACAATAACAGAGGGAACAACTGAAGCCTTTAAATCAGCCAGGAATTCAGTGATAAAACATCTGAAACATAACAATAATAATCTCCACTAATTCGTAGCAAAACTGAACTTGTGAAAATGTGATTTGATCAAAATATCTTTCATGAGTTGAAACAAAATCTGTATATGTACAAAATGGTGTCCTCTTGCTCCCTCTCTGCCAGGCTATCAGATTAGTAGCTACAGATTAAATTTCTGTGAAGATTCTTCTGATTTAACAACATTGTAATTTTGGTAAGGTTTCTACTAAATTTACAGTGGATGATTGGGAACCTGTGGGAAAATTTTTGAATGTGTAGTTAATGCAGTTTTGTCACTGGTCTAGTAATTTCCAGTAACTCTGAGCTTAACTTCCTCTGTTTCTTGTGAAAACAGATGAGAACATCGAAAAATTTCTGGCTGTGTTTGACCGGGGTGAAGCTCTCAACCATGAGAACTACCAGAGTGTTGCAGTGAATTATGGTACACTGCCACGCTTTCAGAAGAATTGGACCAAAGGACAGAGACCAATCAGAAAAGATCAGATGCATGGTGCAAATAAGAATGCCATTCAGCAGAGACTGGCTCACAACAACCAAGCTGTTCTGCCAGACAAAAGAAAAGTGGAGCAACTTTGCAGAGATCCATCCAATATAACAACATTGAGCAGAAATCTGCAACAGACTCTGACTGAGATGCCTGATAATCATGGTTGTTCTAATCATTTTGCTGTGCATTATAGACCTGCACATGGTACTGTCCAAAACACTCTTCCAAAAAACAGCAACATTACAAAGACCTTAGATCTTCAAAAATCCTCTTATAACAAGTCTTCACACTTGAGTACTGCAGGTCCAGTTCGCCTTGATGTTCCTCCAGATGAAGATTGGAGGAAAACAACCTATACCCATCCTCGGGCCAGTGAGAGAGTGCATTTGGCTCTTCATACTACTGCAAGGACCAGCAGTACTGATATGTATTCAAGGCAGCCACCTGCTGGTCGATCAGTGACCCAACAGACCACTCCACAGCCAGGCACCAGGAGGCGTCAGTGCGCTTTATGCCAGCAGGTGTTCATCAGCACAACCATGGTCTATTGTAGGAACTGTAGTGCGTACATGGGGCGGTTTAAACCTCAGCACTGACCTTTGTGATTACGATCAACCAAAATCAAAGGCTGTCTTAAAAGCAATTTATCTTTAAAGTAGGCTAATGCTTAGGTTGAACACTGGTACAACTGCTAACTGAGTAGGTTAACACTGTAAAACTGATCTTTTATCAACTGTAATGTTGAAAATTGATAGTGCACATTTAAATGGTTAGAATAAGAAAAATTGATGAAGGCTAAAGGTCGAATGTATTTAAATTATAAAATTGACTCTTTCTGTTACTAGTTAGAAATTGTGTTTAGAGTTTTGATGCTGGATCTAAAAGCTGCACTGCTCTCCTTTGGGTATACTGAATTGATTTTTACTGTATCACAATCCTAGCCACTTCATTAGTTTGGATCTTTTCACTGATCAAAAATGTGCAGTACTTTGTACTGCAGTATAATGATCGAAATGACATTGTGATTTACATGTCAGTTTGCAAATAGACATTTTCTGATGTCATTGTCGTAAAAAGACAATTTAATAACCCATTGAACTCACTCCAAATCTATCAAGTTCAATGAAAAGAACAACTGGGGGGCCACTTTAATATTTTGTTTTAACCAATAGTACAAATTCTCTTTAAGACTCTGATTCCAGCATGTCAAAAGTTACTAAGGTGATTTTAAATATATGTAGCAGGATCCTAGCTAATGGATATTTATTTAACATGTTTTGCTGTAATTTCTCTCTTTACTATTTTAGCAGAGGTGTTCACCCATTTAATGCAATAAGGTATCGCTTCCACTAAAAAGAGTGGGGAGAAGAATTGCATAGGGCCATGGAGCTTCTGTAACTAGTGTCTTGGCTGATCTGCCTCTGGACCCCATTAATAATTTTTAATGAAGTGCAGTAACTGCATGGGCAATTATTGCCAGCTTCACATGCAGAAACTTTCCTTTTGTCTATTCCTGATCTTGAAAGAGGTTAAAAGACCAATGTTATACAATGATTCAGCTTACAGTGTAAGTTTGATACGATTGTGGTTGGTTGCAGTTTGAGATGGTGTTTGTACTAACCACCTGTGAACAATTAGTTTTTCTATAGCACACATAACTGAGGTAAAACATGTCTATTATTACTGCCCACGTGGAAGACACCTTGACACTTTACTGACCGTCCCATACATATGTATATGATTAAAATGATCTTTGATTGTAGGTCTGATGTGAGAGGCAGTGTAAAGATACTGTTTCACTGAGGGCCATTGGAGATGAAAAGCTGCTGTAAAAATAAATGAAGGATGCAGATTAAAATATTATTGAAGAAGTATATATATACCCAGTCACTGGGTACAAGTGTGATGGTGTGACAAATGGAGAAAAATTAGTTTTGATGTCTAAATATTGAATAGTTAGAAGGATGTTACAGGGCACCCAGACAGATATTTAGACGAATTGGTCCAGAGGAAAGCTTCAGCTGTGGGTACAAGTTCTGAACTTTGCCTTTAATTTCCTTCTTCTGTTATTTTTATAATGTTTATGATTCTGATTTTTATTTGTGGCAGTCTGTAAAATTCATCGTGACTTCCAGACTGCTGAAAACCCATGGGAAATGCCACCAGTAACTACTGTTGTAATATCTGCAGCTTCATGATCTTGACTATGCCACTGGTGAATGAGTACTGAGAGGTTCTGCATTAAGTACCAGGCCATCCACACCGTTGTGTATATCCTATAAGATCTCCTGATGATAAATTTATAGGTGTACAAATGTAGGTTAAGAGATTTTATTGTAGAAAACTGTTTACAGATTTGTACTGTAATTTCATACTTGTCTGCTTAGTAAAAGCTTGATATTCTTGCTAATGTATTACTGTTAAAATGTGTACAGCTTTTACAGCCAATGAGATGTGAATTGGAAAATTTCTGTATCTATTGCAGTGCTAGAAAATGCAACTCATATTTTTGCAATAAAGTATCCAAATGTGCTAATATTTGGGCTGTTGTTGGTCTGACTCTGAAGAGCAAAACACTTAAGACAAAAAGTGATATGCCTCTTT